TGGGCCGTGAGAGATGGAGATGCTGGGGAGCAAGGGGAGGCGGGCAGTGCTGCAGGGTTCGATATATCCTATGAATGGATAGAATATTGAGGCCCAGAGTCAACAGAGCCACTCTGCATCCATGAGAGAAGCCTTTGGAAGAGGTTAGTGTTGCCAGCAGGGATTTTCCCAGCTGTACCCATCACCATAGGGAGGTTTTCATCACCAGGAGGAGGGAATTCATCGCCCCGTGTGAGCACCCGTCAGATTTATCACACACACACACACACACATTTGCTTGGAGGCTTTTCTGGAGCTGGAAGCGTGGGGATGGTGGGAATGCTCCAAAACCCCAGGCACAGATACTCCTTCACCTAAAGCCTGCATCATCTCACAGCACAGGAGATGGTAAAGGTTCATTAAGGGATCAGGCAGTGAAAAAATCCACTGAGGACTATTAAATACAGGGCACCAGGTTGAATGCAGAAGGTGCCTGAGCCTGAATACTTGGAGCTAGGAGAAGACACGTGGAAATGACACTTTTCCTTGTGTATCTGTAGGCTTTGGGCACGCAGATGCAAGTTTGGCTGCTAAAGAAGTATTGCTGTGAACCAATACTCAGCCCATCCCTTTGGAAATATGAATTCCAGCCTCCCATCAGTGCTGCGCATCTCTGCCCTTCCCAGCAGCTCCAGGGCTGCTCCTCTTGCCCAACCTGTGTGCTGCAGTGGGAAAAGGGCTTCCCAAACCTTCCCCCAGCTCCTGGCTGGCTCATGGCAAGGCAGGAGGAAGAGGATGGTGCTGGGCTGCATCCCCAGAGCATGAGCAGCAGGTCGAGGGACAAGGGGGAATGGCTTTAACCTGCCAGAGGGGAGACTGAGTTGGAACTGGATGAGCTTTAAGGTCCCTTCCAACCCAAAGCAGGCTGGGATTCTAGGATTTGCCTCCTTTCCGCAGCTGCTTCCCTCTTAAACAGGGCTGGGAGCGTCCAACCCTCTGCCAAAATCCCCCCAGACTACAGGGAAGATCCCAAATGAAGCTTCCAAAATGGGGAGAAATGGGTGGGAAAAAAGCCCTGAATTAAGGCTTCATTTCCATGCCACAACCCCAAGGAGAGCATCGACTTAGAAGCTGGAAAGGAAGGGATGCTAACACGCCATCGCAATGGATTGCACGCCGAACAGTGGGGTGGTCAGGACAAAGGTGACCCCCGGGATGAAGCTGGCTGGGAAACATGAGGGTGGATCAGCAGGAGCCAGTGAGGAGCTCGCCAAGGAATGCTGGTGGTGGTGGCTGCTGCCAGGCTGCTCCATATGGCTGGTGACTGGGGGAGACCCGGGCTGGAGCCTGCGCTGCGTCACACTCGGAGCAGTCCTGGATGGGTTTGGGGGTGAGCTTGGTGCTGAGCTGGAAAGCCCCGAGGTGCTTTTAGTGCTCCCAGCATCACTGGAGCAAACGCGCTCCTTCCTTTGGGGGTCTCATTCACCGCCCTGAGGATGCTCCCATCGCACGGAGGAGCACGGAGCTTTTCTGCTTGGCTGCGAGATGCCCCATGGACACACACAGAGCTGCCATAATGGCTTTCCAAACCTCTTCATCTCTTCCCACAGCACCTCGGGGACCGGGGAAAGAGGGAGAAGACCCAAAACCCGGAGCAGGGATTGAGCTTTTGGGGTGCCCATGTGCTGTGGGGAGGGGGGGACCTGAAGCTGCAGGGATTTCCTCCCTGCATGTGTATGCTGACATCTTGCACCCCAGGAAGGCTATCCCTCCTCCTCGGCAGCCAAGTGCTCCTTCTGGGAAGGGGAACGCTGTGCCAGCTCCCGGGCCTGGAGCTTGGCTCGAGGCATGGTCACGTTTTCCCATTACCTCATGCGTGGTGTCACCTCCACGCTCCTCCCATGGGGATGCCATCCAAGAGGGTCACTTCACACTGGGTTTTAGGATGAGGCGTACATAAACCACACGGTAATGGCTTGTTTTCTTGTCTTGAAATGGCTCCAGTGTTTTAGGATCGTCTTTAAGGATGAGCAGAGGTTCGTCAGAGCTGCCTCTGCCCTGCTGCGGTAGCAGGGACCTCCCCATGGTGTGTTAAGCTGGTGGGGTATACAAGGTGGGACAGCGTTTTCCATCTCCAGGAGAAAAGAAGAGCTGCTTGTCCTGGTAGGGATGTGGGTCTGGTTCTCAGCTCAGAGGCTGGAGATCCTACACACCCCAAAGGCTGACATCCCAGTTAAAGTGCAGCACAGGGAGGTAAAAGAAGAGCGACCAAGGCCTGGTAGGTCCTTATAACACAGCCTAGGAGGAGTAAAGAAGAAAGCATGGAGCCCAGTGTCCACCCCTCTGGTGGGGTTGTGTTCCACCAGCAGATGCCCTAAGCTGCAGGTTGGAGTTGTGCTTCACAGCCACAGATCCTGACTCTGTTCATCAATCACCTGGTCCCCATGATGTCCTGAAGCTCCGAGTTCCAGTTCCAGCAAGCACTGCAGGGCTCAGATTGCCTTTGCCTTGCCTGAAACCCACTTTCTGTCCATTGCACTGGACATCCCCCATGTCCTATGGGATGAGAAACTGAATACCTGGATCCCACTCACCATTCCCACACTCTGATAATTTCCTGGATCTCTCTCCATCCCCTCTTTTGATTTCCAACCTGAACCTCACAGCTCATTCCCTGACATTCCCTGAATCACCAGGCAGGGCTCAAGGCTTCTTTGCACCTCTTTTGCAGAGGCAAGGCAGAGCAGCCTGCCCCCAACGTGGGGAAGCACTGCTAGACACATTTCAGAGTGATTTGCCCAAGGTAACGCAGTGAGTCATTCCTGGAGCCAGGAATAGCTCCGGAGCAGAGCCCCGCTTCAGCTGCTGCACCCCGGCTCGAGCATCGCTTGGCCTCGTGGCTACGGATGCAGGCGCTGCTGCACATCCCAAAGGATCTGGCCTCCCAGCAAGGGCTGGAAGCACATGAAGGCAGGGAAAACCTGTCTGGATGTGCAGCAGTCCAGAGGAGGCCATGGAGATGCTGCGAGGGCTGGAGCAGCTCTGCTCTGGAGCCAGGCTGAGAGAGCTGGGCTGGGGCAGCCTGGACAAGAGAAGGCTCCTGAAGGGGAGACCTGAGAGCAGCTCCAGTGCCTGAAGGGGCTGCAGGAAAGCTGGAGAGGGGCTTGGGACAAGGGCCTGGAGGGACAGGCCAAGGGGAATGGCTTGAACCTGCCCGAGGGGAGACTGAGCTGAGCTCTTAGGCAGAAGCTCTTCCCTGGGAGGGTGCTGAGGCGCTGGCACAGGGTGCCCAGAGAAGCTGTGGCTGCCCCATCCCTGGCAGTGTTCAAGGCCAGGTTGGACACAGGGGCTTGGAGCAAGCTGCTCTAGTGGAAGGGGTCCCTGCCCGTGGCAGGGGTTGGAGCTGGAGGAGCTTTAAGGTCCCTCCCAACGCAAACCAGGCTGGGATTCTTCTATCCTATGAAAACGCACAGGTAGGGGTGCTGGGGAGAGGTCCCCTCCTTCTTTCTGGCTCCTTTGCACCCCTCAGCTTTCTCCTGCAGACCCCATCTTGGAGTTGACCTTCCCCTGGGCCACCTGGCACTGGGAAGCAGTGGGTTTGTACCTCTCAATGCTGCTATAGACGTGGTTTCCAGTGCTCTGAACCCAACAACCAGAACGCCCAGAGAAAGCCTTCCCCTCCCCATCCAAACTGCTTGTGCTGGTTGTGATCTGCCCCCCCCCCAGAACATCACCACTCATCCAGGATCAGCTCCAAATCGATGCTGGCCTTTTAGACATCCCCAAACAATCAAGCAGGAAAAGCAGCAGCCTCCAGCCTTGCTTCAGTGGAGGCTTCACCCCAGTGCAGTGACTGGGGGGGTCGGGAGGATGCTCAGGATGGAATCACTGCCGGGATCCTTCCGAATCACTGCTTGCTCTGAGTCCGGTGATAGAACATCCCCTTTCGATGATCCTCTGGGGTTTACAGGATGGATCTTCCTTCTCCCAGCTCAGATCCATGCCTGTTACATGCCAGCCTGGGCGGAAGCCATGAACTCGGATGACTGAACGGAGCTGGCCGCGGCTTTGCCGTCTCTTTTTGGCTCCTCGCTCCATCGCAGGAGGAGCCGGCATCCACTTCACGGCTCCAAATCCAAGCAAAGCCCAGCTGCCAGCAGAAAGCGTTGCAAAACCAGGCATGGAACGGAGGGGAGGGAGAGGAGGAAGGGGGGGGAACAGCAAACCCAGCACCTTTCACGCTTCTAGAAGGAGCAAGAGCAACAAAAGGCATTGAGAGAGGGGGGAGAAAATAGCGTGAGGAGAATAAAAGCCTGAGGAGAGTTAAATCTGGAATGAATCTGGAAGGAAAAGCAGCCTGCGATGGAGGGGGAATGAGCCCCGGGTCCTTGCTAGGGATGCAGAGGGATGCCCAGTATCCCTTAGTGCATCTCCAGCCCTGGCTGCTGCAGATGCTTGTGCTTGCACACGCGTGCCTGTGCACATGGGGGGTGTGGATGCGATGGGGAGATGCGGGCAGGGTGCTGGGGGGGGGGGGGGGGGGGTGATGCTGTGCACACCCAGAGCAGAGATTTGATAAAAATATCGCGATTTTCGGTTAAAAAGAGCTGGAAAAGGGGAAAAAAAAAAACACGGAGGGAGAGAAAAGGGGGAGGGGAAGGGAGGGGGCACCGCGTCACGGGAGAGATTTCCTTATTGGGACTCCCTAGCCTACATCCTGAGTCCATATATGGGCATTTACGTCACGGCAGCCTCACTGGGGACTCCAGAAATGGCTGCGGCGGAAGGTCGGAGCAGCCCCGCTGCAGCTATAAAGGGAGCGCAGGGGAGGCAGAGCCGGGCGTCCGCTCGGGCTGCCGCTGCTGCCTGCCCCTGCCCGGCCCCCGGGACCTGATACCGCCCCCTCCCTCCATCACCCGGGGGTGCAGCATCGCTGCCCGCACCCGGCCCCGGCATCCCCCCCATTGCCACAAGCATCCCGGAGCATCCCTGGCATCTACGCCGAGCACCCCCCCCCCCCCCCCCGCCCCGGCTCGGTCCGGGTACCCCAAGCACCCCCCTGCTCGCCCTGAGCATCCCTCTCCTTCCCTTGAGCATCCCTTTATTCCCCCCGAGCATCCCCTTATTCCCCCTTAGCATCCTCCTTCTCCCTTGAGCATCCTCCTGCTCCCTCCGAGCTCGCTCCAGCCCGGCACCCCCCCCCCCTCCTCCCCGCTCCGGCCGTGCTTCCAAAGGAGATGCTCAACGTTATGGATTTTTCCTGCTCGGATCCTCTTTACTCCAAATACGAGGAAAGCTGCGAGCTGAAACCCGGCGACCTGCAAGGCTTGGGGCAGGCTGAGCAGCAACTCCTGGCAGAAGGCGATTTCCTCGGAGGTAAGGACCGGAGGAGGCCGGGCAGGGATGAGGGATCCAGCTGGGAGTGGGAGCTGCAGCCAGGAAACGGGAATCTTTCCCCTCTCTATCCCCCTAGTCCTTGGATAGGGGTTCAACAGCCCCCCACTATCCATGGGGGGCTCCTGCTGGGGAAGGGGGGTGAAGCCCAGGTCTCTCCATGCATCCCTGGGGACCCGTCTAGGATGGGGACCTCGCAGTGACGCAACATCAGCATCCCGCTGTTCCCCTGTATTCCCCCCCCCAGCCCTGCATCCCAGCATCCCTGTAACCATGGTCCCTCTGTGTCCTCAGGTGAGGTGCTGGGCACCCCGATGAGTGGTGGGGCTGTGGATTACTCCCTGCTGGGCAGCCAGCCCTCCCCTTCGCTCAGCTACACCGGCAGCTTCTTCATCAAAGCGGTACCGGAGCATCCCCAGGACCAGGAATCCCTCTTCAACCTGATGTCAGGGATCCTGGGCATCTCCCCCTTCGCCTCCTCCGAGGGCCACCAAAGGCATCTGGATGCTCTTTATCCATGTCCCGATGTGGCTCAGAGCCAGCTGGACCTTTATCCTAACTGCCAGCCGGAAATGAACGGATCCACCCAAACCCCATTCCCGGAGCAGGGCTACGGCAGCTTCCCCACTCCGGATGCTGCTCAACCCCTGCAGGCACAGCCCACCTTGGGAAACACCTCCCAGTGCTTCTTCCAACCCAAGCTCCTGGACAGCAAGCAGGACATCAAGCTGCCCTCTGGCTCCCCACCCCTGGACAAGTTTAAAGCCTCCTGCACCCAATGGGAGCCCATCACCCAGCATCAGGCCTACTTGCCCTCTGGTTACCCATCTCCCGAAGCGTTCCCAGCTGGAGAAAGCAGCCAGGGGCTATTCCATCCACTGGGCTCCAAGATGGAGAGCGTCTTGTCCGTGAGCTGCCAGTCAGAGCTCGGCAGCCTGGCAGAGGATGCTCCCTGCTTCGGGACCCATCTGGGCTTCGGCTGCGAGCCAGAGAACTTCCCGGCCGACACCAAGATCCACAACCTCCCTCCTCCCTTGATCCCGGAATTCGACGCTTCCTTAACCCAGCCCGAAGTCCTGCCGGCGCTGATGAGCTCCGCCGAGCTCCTCCATCCTCATCCCTCTCCCTCTGTCCCCAGCACGGACTTTTTGGGCCACGCCACCTCTTCCTCCATCCCTTCCCTGCTTCCCCCCACCCCTCCCGCCTTGGCCGAGCCCAAGAAGAAGACTCGCCGGACCAAGTGCTCTTCCAAATGCTTCTGCCCCAAGCCCCACGAGAAAGCGTTCGCCTGCCCCGTGGAGAACTGCATCCGGAGCTTCGCCCGCTCGGATGAGCTCAACCGGCACCTCCGCATCCACACGGGCCACAAACCCTTCCAGTGCCGCATCTGCCTGCGGAACTTCAGCCGCAGCGACCACCTCACCACCCACATCCGCACCCACACGGGCGAGAAGCCCTTCTCCTGCGACACCTGCGGGCGCCGCTTCGCCCGGAGCGACGAGAAGAAGCGCCACAGCAAGGTGCACCTCAAGCAGAAAGCCCGCACCGAGGAGAAGCTCAAGGGCTTGGGGTTCTTCTCGGTGGGGCTCTCCTTCGGGACGCTCTGAGAGCCCGGCGCTGGGACGCGGCGCTTCCCGACGTTCCCCCGAGCCTCTCGTGGGAGAGCCGGGGTTGGGACCATCCCGCTCCTGGAGAAGAGGATGGCGAAGGAGCGGGCCCGTGGTGGGATGCAGAGGGGCGCGCGGGAGGTGGATGTGGTGCCACGGCGCTGGACCGAGGTGGGGATGCGGCAGCTTCGATGCCCCGGAGCCGTCTCCAAACTGCAGGGACTGAGTGGTTTTTATTGCTCCTGTTCCAAGGGCAGGGGGAGGAAATGAAAACCCATGGACAGAAAGAAATGGGTTTTATACCCCCGGACCCATGGACCATGTGTGTTTGGAGCGACCTGACTGGGGTTCCCCCCTGCCAGCACTTTACAGGATGCTCCTGATGGGTTATTTACCACCCAGCACAGCAGCACCGACCCTTTCTCCCAAAGGAGGGAGATGCCAGCAGGCTCCAGCAGCCGGTGCCTGATGGTCCCTTTGGAAAGGTGATGTCATTATCATGATTATTATTGCTGTTATTATGATCCTGTTTGTAAATGGGAAAAAGCCTCTATCGGGATGAGAAAATCCTGTCTATTTTTCTAATTAAAGATTTGAGCTGATCCAAGACCTCTCTGCCTTGTTCCTGCCTTTGTGTCCCGTTTAGCAGCCGATGCCGGTGGGATTTCCATTGCTTTGGACCTCTCCTATGGGGAGAAAGGTGCTTAAATAGTTAGCAGAGAGAGGAAAATCAATCAGAGCAGTGGGGGGGTGGGGGGTTGTGGCCCTCATCCCGAGCATCCCAAATCCCCTCGGTGGATGGCTTATCCCAGGAGAAGGGTCTTGTCCCGGCACAGAGCGGGGAAGGGATCCCCGCTCCCGGCTCATGAGTCCCTTACAGAAAACAGGGCCGTGGCTCTGGGTTTATTCCAATAGGAACAAACCCTGGAGGGATCTGCCCTACTTGGATCCAGAGCCATGGGGTTCACTGGGGGGACCCCAAATCCCAGCCCGGAGCCTCCATTCTGGTCCCTCCATGTGTCCTTAGCAGGCTTCTCCTGCAGGAAACGGGGGGGGGGTGGATACAGCCCCTGCTCCCCATCTTCAACCTGGCACATCCCCAGGGCTGGAGGGGATCCAGGCACCATCAGGCTGGACATTTGCTCCCTCCCTTTTGGCAGGTTCAAGAGCCAAGAGACGCCTGTTCCCTTCCCCTGGGAACATCCAGCGGCACGGGAGATGTCGCAGCTCATGAGATGCAGGGAATAGAGGCAGGGAAACTGAGGCAGGGAAGGGGCATGGCTGGAAACCTGCTCTCTCCAACAGGTTTTGTCCCTTGGAGAGGGGGGATCTGTCCCCAGCCATGTTATGGAGGAAAGGGGGGGGTCTCCTTGCCTTGTCCCCCGGTGTCCCCCAGCCCTTTGCCAACACATGGACTGGAGCATCCCAGGGTTAAATCCCATTTATACCGTTATCCCAGCAGAATCCAATGCCCTGAACGGGGCTTGATGTGGGCTGGGAGGACCCCATGGAGCTGGGGTGGGAAGCTGGGCGGGGGATGTGAGGCCCCCAAGGGACAGGATGGGATGCGATGGGATGGGGAAAGGATTCAGCAGGAGACCTGGATGAGGGGTAAATCCTGACTGTCCTTACAAGAGCTCACACCTCTGATGGCACCCAAGGGTGCTGGTGCCCCACCAGCCCCATGCATTGCCGGCCCCAGCAGCTGAACCACCCCATGTGTGTGGTACGTGATCCCGAGCAAGGACCACTCCATGGGATGCAGATGAGCCCAGGCACCAAAAAAGAGCCTTTTCCTGGGGGGGGACGGACACCCACCCACACACACACACTCCAGATATCGTTCCCAGGGACTCAGCACCCAGGTTTGCTTTGGGAAGAGGACAGATTCTGGGCACCTCTCCATGGGACATCAGCTCGTGTCAGCAGCAGACAGCCCTGCTTCCCCTCGCCGCTCGCCATGCATCATGCATGAGGCCTTTATTAATACCCCTCTGGAAGTGCATCTATTATTGATGCTGAGCCTGAGAGCTCTGAGAGGCTCCAGCCCTCGCCCTCTGCTCCCATCACAGCAGCGGTTCCTGGGGTGGGATGGGGCTGAGGGGAGGATCAGGGGTACCCTGAACCCCAGGGATGGGGATGAACCACTTGAGCCCAGGCCAGCAGCATCCTGGCCCCAAACATCTTCCCTCGTGTCCACATCAGAGATAAGAACACATCAGTACTGGGCTGCCTTTGGCACTGGGGACCAAGCTGAGGTGCTCAGGGACTGGATCAGGACCAAGCCAAGGATTAAACCAGGGACCAAGGTGCTTGAGGACTCAACCAGGACCAGGACAGGGATTAAACCAGGTTGCGTAGGGACTGGATCAGGACCAAGCCAGGGTGCTCAGAAGCTGGATTAGGATGAAGCCTGGATGCTCAAGGGACTGGATCAAGACCAAGCCAGGTTTCTTGGGGACCAAGCCAGGGATGAAGCCAAGGTACGTGGAGATTCAGTCAGGACCAAGGCAGGGATTAAGACAGGGATTAGATCAGAACTCAACCAGGGACCAAGTCTGGATGCTCAGGGATTGGATCAGGACCAAGCCAGGGACCAACCCAGGGTGCTTGGGGACTGGATCAGGATGAAGCCAGGATGCTCAAGCACCAGAACAGGACCGAGGAAGGGATTAAACGAGGGTGATCAGGGATCAGATCAGGACCAAGGCAGGGACCAAGCCATGGTGGTCAGGGGCTGGATCAGGATGAAGCCAGGGGCCAAACTGTGGTGCTTGTTGACTGGATTGGAATGATGCTGCATTCTTGGGGACTGGATCAGGACCAAGCCAGGGTGCTTGGGGACCAGCTGGGGACCAAGCCAGGAACCAAGCCAAGGAACTCAGGGGCTCAGTCAGGATTAACCCAAGGCAATCAGAGACCAGATCAGGGCCAAGACAGGGACCAAGCTCGGATGCTCAGAGACTGGGTCGGGACCAAGCCAGAATCCCTGCAGCTGTGGGTCCAGCCTGGGATGGGGAAAGAGCGATGCAGACACCCCCCATCCAGGGGGATGCTCCGGGATGATTCCAGACGGGGGCTGCCAGGGGCAGGAGGGGACTGATGGGGACAAAGGGGTACGGGTAGGGACAAGGGGGTTCTGTGGGGCCGGGTAGATGCGGGCTGAGGCTGCCGCATGGCAGCAGGGCCGGCGGAGCGCCCGCGGTGTTCGTGGGGACGCAGGCAGAGGGAGCTGTGAGGGAGGAAAAGCGACGGAGAGAAACAGCCCGGGCTGGGGCTGCAAAGGAGGAGGAGGAGGAGGAGGAGGAGGCGGCTGCCAGCGCTCGCCCTCCCTCCCTCCTTCCCTCCATCCCTCCCTCCTCGCCCCTTCGCCATGCAGAGCCCCCCCTGAGCCCCGCAGCCCCGGGGACCCTCTGTCCCCAGGGTGCCCCAGCATCCCTCATCCTCCCCCCGGCGCCTTCAGCCTCTGCTCTCTTCCTCCTCGTCCTCGTCCTCCTCCTCCCGCAGCCACCACCCTCCCTCCCTCCCCAGGGCCTGGCTGGCATGGAGGTGCTGGCCGCAGGGAGCCGGATGCTTCCAGCCATTCCTGCCTCCCTCCCGGGCCGCATCCCTCCCGAACCACATCCCTCTTTCCCGACAAAGCCCTGAGCCTCCTCCTTTGTGCGGGTGTTGGGGTGTGCGTGGTCCAGCCCCCATCCCGTATCCCCGCGGCTCGCTCGGTGCTGGAAGCAGGAGGGATGCTGCCATCAGAGGAGCCAAGCGCGGGAGCTCGGCGCCCAGCACCAGGTACGGGGCGAAGCAGGATGCTCATGGGGAGGTGGTGGCTTGTCCCCAGGCTGCTCCTCGCCATGGACCACTGGGGAGCAGGGGGGGGATGCGGTGGGGACAAAGCCGCTGCCATGGGGCGAGGAGGGACCCGCTGCTCCTCGCTGCAGGTGCTGGGGGATGGATGCATCCCGGTTTTCCATGCGAGCCTCCCTGCACCTCTCCCATCGTGGTGCCTCCACCCCGCAGCAGCCTCAGCCGGGGAAGGATGGGGACCAGCGGGAACGGGGAGCATCCGCCACCCGGCATCATCCTCCACCACCACCACCCCTCTTTTCCATCCTCCCCTACCCTCTTCCAGCAGGCGGGAATGGTGATGCCTGCTGATGCTATATTTTGGGGGCTTGGAGGCAGGAAAACTGCTAAACAATGCACGGAGAGGATCCATGATGAAGCGCAGGTAGCGGCGCCGGAGCAGCCCGGGAATGCTGCAATCTCCCGGCAGCCGGGAGCGTTTTCCCGGCTCCGGATGCGGGTGGGATTTAATCGTGGGGCTGCCGTAGTAATGACTCCGCTAATAATGCCCTTCAATCCCGGTCGTGGCTGGGGATGGGAGAGGTTTACGGTGAGGATAGAACCTGCCTAAGGCAGGGATGGGGCGATGCGAACCTTCGGACCTGCCTTGGATTATGGCTGGGAAACACGGGGCTGAGGCTGAGCAGGAGATGCCGGCAGGGCTCCAGGCCTGAGCTATGGGTGGCCGGATGCTGTGGCCCCATCCCCATGGTGGAAAAGCGCTTTCTCATCCCATCGGCAGCAGCTGAAGTTGCCGGTGGTGCTTTGTGTGTGCCGGGTGCTGGGGGTTAAGGTGTGAGGCTGTTTTGTAACCCCAAAACACAGCCAGGCGCTTCCAGCTTTCCTTCCACCGCATCCCAGCTCTGGTTTTCCATGGATTTCTCGCCTTTACTGTTCTTTCCCTTTAAAATGGTTTCCCAAAGCCTCCTGGCCTGGTTGTGCTCACTGAGGAGGTGCTGAGCTATGGGGATGAGCAGGGATGGAGGTTTCGGGGTGGTGGAGTGCTCACCAAGGATGGGGGCTGTGGAGTGCAGGGGGGGCCTCAAAGGGGTTTTGGGATGGTGGGAAGAGCCCTTTGAGGGATACTGCAGAGGGATGAGGAAGGGATGCTCCCACCCATGGGTGCTGGTGGTGTTTTGGGGTGAAGGCATTGCAGGGATGCACTCCAACGTGTGCTTGTGTCTCCCAGGCTGGAGGAGACCATGGGGACATCCCAAGCTCCCATTCCACAAGGGTGGGGGGTTTTCCCCTGCAATGCCATGGAGGATTTGATGATGGGGGGGATAAACCAGGTCCCCAAAGAGACCTTCTTCTGGCTGGGAAGCCACCATGCCCTTGGCATCAGACCACGGGGTCTATGGGGTCCTATAGCCCTGGAGAGGTCACTGATGAGAATGGGAATGAATCCTGTTGTGAGACTGAGCTAGCAGGAATGGGTCACCCTTCGCTTGGAGAAGGGGGCTCCAGACCCAGTGCTGGACACAGGGATGCTCCTGGAGACCCCTCACACTGCAGGGGCTCAGTGAGGGGCGGTTGGCCAAGAAAGGACATGGTCACCCCTCTGTGGGTGCTCAGGGTGGATGGAGGGAGCTTTCCCATGGGATGTCCAGATTCCTTGTGGCTGCATCCTCCTAAATGGTTGTGAACCTTTCCAAGGGCTGGAGTACCTTCTCAATGGGTATAGATCTTGCCAACGGTTATGGATACAGATCTCGCCACTGGTTATGGAGCTTCCCAAGGGTTACACACCTTATACATCTTCCCAAGGGTTGTGAATCTTCCCAAAGGTTGCAAATCTTCCCAAGGGTTGTGGATCTTTCCATAGTTTATGGATATTCCCAAGGGTTGTGGATCCTTCCATAGTTTGTGGATATTCCCAAGGGTTGTGGAGCTTCCCAATTGTTGTGAATATTCCCAAGGGTTGTGGATCCTTCCATAGTTTGTGGATATTCCCAAGGGTTGTGGAGCTTCCCAATTGTTGTGAATATTCCCAAGGGTTGCGGATCCTTCCATAGTTTGTGGATATTCCCAAGGGTTGTGGATCCTTCCATAGTTTGTGGATATTCCCAAGGGTTGTGGATCCTTCCATAGTTTGTGAATATTCCCAAGGGTTGTGGATCCTTCCATAGTTTGTGAATATTCCCAAGGGTTGCGGATCCTTCCATAGTTTGTGGATATTCCCAAGGGTTGCGGATCCTTCCATAGTTTGTGGATATTCCCAAGGGTTGTGGATCCTTCCATAGTTTGTGGATATTCCCAAGGGTTGTGGATCCTTCCATAGTTTGTGGATATTCCCAAGGGTTGTGGATCCTTCCATAGTTTGTGGATATTCCCAAGGGTTGTGGATCCTTCCATAGTTTGTGGATATTCCCAAGGGTTGCGGAACCTTCCATAGTTTGTGGATATTCCCAAGGGTTGTGGATCCTTCCATAGTTTGTGGATATTCCCAAGGGTTGCGGATCCTTCCATAGTTTGTGGATATTCCCAAGGGTTGCGGATCTTCCCAAAGGTTATGGAGCTTCCCAAGGGTCGTGCCTCAATGCAAGGAACATGGGAGGGTGGGACGGAGGCAGCGAGGGGACCAAGAAGCAGGACCAAGGTGCGACTCTTGGTCACCCGCACCCCTCAATCACTGACCCCCATCTCTTCCAGCGCCCGCCACCGCTCGATGCTGACACCCCCCAGCGCCTCCGGACCCCGCTTCCACCCCAGGCCTCCCTCCCCGCCATGCCCCAGCGCACCCACAGCCCCGCCACGGGGGGCTCCGCACCCCACCCCGCGTGCCCCGGGTCCAGCCCTGCCTTGCCATGAGCAGGGTCCCGCGTACCGGGCTGCGTAGCTGAGGGATGGCCTCGCTGGACCTGCCCTACCGGTGCCCGCGCTGCGGGGAGCACAAGCGCTTCCGCAGCCTCTCCTCGCTGCGGGCGCACCTGGAGTACAACCACACCTACGAGACCCTCTACGTCCTCTCCAAGACCAACAGCATCTGCGATGCCGCCGTCTTCCCCTTGGCCGCCGACGGGGCTCTGCTGACGCCGGCCGCGCGCAGGGACTACTTTGAGAGCACCTCCTTCCAAGGCAAGGACCAGCGCTTCTCCTGCGACCTGGTCCCTGCCGAGGAGCTGGAGCCGGCGCCGTCCTCCTCCCCATCGCCGCGCTACGTCCATGAGATCGAGATCCCGCTGACCGAGATCTTCACCCGCAGCAAAGCCGTGGCGCCGGCCCCGACGCCGCCGGCCGCTATGGACAGTGCCTATGAGGAAGGCTTGGCCCGCCTGAAGATCCGCGCCTTTGAGAAGCTGGAGGTGGACAAGCGGCTGGAGAAGCTGACGGAGGAGGTGGAGCAGAAAATCGCGTCCCAGGTGGGACGGCTCCAGGTGGAGCTGGACCGCAAGAGCTCGGAGCTGGAGAAGGCCAAGCAGGAGAGCCTGAGGCTCAGCAGGGAGAAGCAGGAGCTGGAGGACCGGGCGTCTGAACTGTCCCGTCAAGTGGATGTCAGCGTGGAGATGTTGGCCTCCCTCAAGCAGGACCTGGTGCAGAAGGAGCAGGAGCTCACCCGCAAGCAACAGTGAGTCCTTGGTCCTGGTTGAAGGGGGGGGGGGGATTCCATTGGAATGGTGAACCCTGAGGAGCCCATCACCGAACCCTCAGACCAAGTGCTAGGGCACAGTCCCTTTGCCAACGTCCATTGCCATCGTCTGTCATCAGGTTTTGCATCTTCTCCCGTGCAATGTCCACACAGACCTGAGGTCTATAGCTTGGTCACATCATGGCAGACCTGGTCCCATAGCCACCGGTGCCCCCAGGACATGGCCAGGTACATGGGGATGCACATGGCCATCCTCATGTCCTGCCCAGGAACACGGTGGTGGTCACGCTGCTGCAGCCCATCTCTAGCACCAAAGGCTGTCTTCCCAAAACCCTGGGTCATCCCCTCTGGCTCCACACCTGAATTATCCAGCCCGATACAACCTGAGGAATCCCATTGACCTGTCCAATGGGGCCACCTTGGCCCTGCCTAATGCAGGGCTTTTCTCCTAGAAGGAAGATGGGACAGCCCAAGGAGCCCAAATAGACCTCCATTCGCTGTCAGGACCATGGCACTGCCATCCCCATTTTCATCCCATGTTCCCCACTTAACACCCCCTTCCCATCCAGTCCTGCTCCCGAGTTCCCCTCTGGTCAAGCACTGGGCCATTTTGCCATTGTTGATGCTCAAGCAAACCAGACCTTGTTCCTCAGGGGTTTCTTAGCAAAGCTGGAGCGCTCCATAGGGTCAATGAGGAGCACAGTGGGGGACAGTCATGGCCTTGTCTCCATCCTCACCATAGTCAGCGTCTTCACGAATGGCTTTGACTCCAAAATGAGGTTCCCAGGACTGGCTGGTGCTGGGGTGAGCAGTGAGGTGATGCTGGGGTTGGATAAGGGCAATGCCTCTTGGTTTGGATGCATGTGAAGGCTCCTCCAGTTCCAACCCCTGCCACGGGCAGGGACCCCTTCCACTGGAGCAGCTTGCTCCAAGCCCCTGTGTCCAACCTGGCCTTGAGCACTGCCAGGGATGGGGCAGCCACAGCTTCTCTGGGCACCCTGGGCCAGCGCCTCAGCACCCTCACAACGAGGAATTCTATGCATCTTGTTTGGTCCGTGGTGGACCCTGGACACCATTGCCACAAAAAACCCGGAGTTTATGCCCCAAACTGCCTCCTTTTTGTACAGAAACCCCTTGCCTGTCCTCGTCTGTCCCCAGACTCCTCCAGCCACAGTGGCAGAACCAGTTGCCAGGTTGCAGAGGGAGCGTGAGGAGACCTGATGAAAATAGATTCCTTTTCCTATAAACGGGAAAACCATTTCCATCAGCACAGCCAGCTTCGCCCTTCCCAGATCAAACCATTCCCAGCCCCACCAGCTCCAAACCACCACGAGCCCATCGTCCCCAGGGGAGGCTTCTTGCTCCTGGGCTCCGTTTGCTGTGCCAGGAGTGTTTTTCCACCCGGTCCATGGGGATGCGAGAGATGCGGGTGATAACCATCAGCATCACCTTACACGCTGTGCCAGCACCCATTTGCCTTCCAAATCCCCTGGGGCCCCTTGCTGGGAGCCTTCCCAAATCATTCCCGAGGAGCTCCCAGGTTCACCCTGCAAATGGCAGGTTGGGGGGTAACTAATTAGTAATTAAATGGCAATCAAGAAGCAGCAAAGGGAATTGTGTCACTGAGGGCTGCTCTCTGCCTCCTTCACACTCCAGTGCATATTGGTGTGGCTGGGTGTGCAAGGTTGGGTGTGCAGGGTTGGGTGTGCAGGGTTGGGTGTGCAAGGTTGGGTGTGCAAGGCTGGGTGTGAATGGTTGGGTGTGCAGGGTTGGGTGTGCATGGCTGGGTTTGAATGGTTGGGTGTGCAAGGTCGGGTGTGCAAGGCTGGGGGTGAATGGTTGGGTGTGCATGGTTGGGTGTGCAAGGTCGGGTGTGCAGGGTTGGGTGTGCAAGGTTGGGTGTGCATGGTTGGGCATGCATGGTTAGGTGTGCAAGGTTGGGTGTGAAAGGTTGGGTGTGCATGGTTGGGCGTGCATGGTTGGGTGGGCAGGGTTGGGTGTGCAAGGTTGGGTGTGCAGGGTTGGGCGTGCAAGGTTGGGTGTGCAAGGTTGGGTGTGCATGGTTGGGTGTGCAAGGTTGGGTGTGCAGGGTTGGGTGGGCATGGTAGGGTGTGCATGGCTGGGTGTGCAAGGTTGGGTGTGCAGGGTTGGGTGTGCAAGGCTGGGTGTGAATGGTTGGGTGTGCATGGTTGGGTGTGCAGGGTTGGGTGTGCAGGGTTGGGTGTGCAAGGTTGGGTGTGCAAGGTTGGGTGTGCAGGGTTGGGTGTGCAAGGTTGGGTGTGCAAGGTTGGGTGTGCAGGGTTGGGTGTGCAAGGTTGGGTGTGCAGGGTTGGGTGTGCAAGGTTGGGTGTGCAGGGTTGGGTGTGCAAGGTTGGGTGTGCAGGGTTGGGTGTGCAGGGTTGGGTGTGCAAGGTTGGGTGTGCAGGGTTGGGTGTGCAAGGTTGGGTGTGCAAGGTTGGGTGTGCAGGGTTGGGTGTGCAAGGTTGGGTGTGCAGGGTTGGGTGTGCAGGGTTGGGTGTGCAAGGTTGGGTGTGCAAGGTTGGGTGTGCAGGGTTGGGTGTGCAAGGTTGGGTGTGCAAGGTTGGGTGTGCAAGGTTGGGTGTGCAGGGTTGGGTGTGCAAGGTTGGGTGTGCAAGGTTGGATGTGCAAGTTTGGGTGTGCAAGTTTGGGTGTGCAAGGTTGGGTGTGCAGGGTTGGGTGTGCAGGGTTGGGTGTGCAGGGTTGGGTGTGCATGGTTGGGTGTGCACAAGACAGACACGAGGAGCTGTGCTTGTGCACCTTCAGGGGTTCATGGATGCCAAGATAAGGTGTGAGAGCGGTCGTGCACGTGTGTGTGCGCACCATTGGCTGTGTGGGTGGTTTTGGGTGCGTATGCAACCGACCGTACATGTGTCTGCCCGTGCACGTGCATCGGGGTCTACATCTGCATTCGTGTTTCCATGGTGCCCATGCACGTGGGCTGGCTCTGCGCACGCATGGGGTGCACTTGTGGGGGTGCACGGTGGCTGTGTGCTGTGTGCACCCTAATGTGGGCACGCAGGGTGGGATGGGGCCACACCAGGTCAGTGAGCTGCTGGCAGTGTCCAACGCAGAGCTGGGGGTGGTTTGGGGGCTGAGTTGGGTTTAAGGACTTCAAGCTGCCCTTAAGGTGTTTCCTTTAAGTCTGCCCCAAATGGGGGCCATGCACCTCTATCCTCCCACCACAGCATCATAGCATCCTATGCTGGTTTGGGTTGGAAGGGACCTTAAATCCCATCCAGCTCCAAACCATGCCGCGAGCAGGGACCCCTTCCACTGGAGCAGCTTGCTCCAAGCCCCTGTGTCCAACCTGGCCTTGAGCACTGCCAGGGATGGGGCAGCCACAGCTTCTCTGGGCACCCTGTGCCAGCGCCTCAGCACCCTCCCAGGGAAGAGCTTCTGCCTAAGAGCTCATCTCAGTCTCCCCTCGGGCAGGTTCAAGCCATTCCCCTTGTCCTATCATCACCCCCTTCCCTCCACTCCATTGCACTCAAGAGCCTCCAGTCCTGGGAGCACTGCTCACCCAGGCAAAGGATGTCATCCACCCCCAAAACAAGGTGCCAGCATCCCCCTGCTTGCCTGCAGCACCCCTTAGTCCCTGCTCTGCCCCAGCCCATGCCCAGGACCCATCCAGCCCGACCCAGGCTAACGACGAGCGGTCCAGACGCGCACAAGCAGGGCCCTTCCTCTCGCACCCCGTGCATGGAGGTGCTCAGCAGGGATGTAGGGGATGGGCCGGGGGTGTCACCCACTGCTCCCCCCCACACCCCACCCCGCACAGGGAGGTGCTGCAGATCGACCAGTTCCTGAAGGAGACGGCGGCGCGCGAGGCCAACGCCAAGGTGCGGCTGCAGCGCTTCATCGAGGAGCTGCTGGACCGCGCCGACCGCGCCGAGAAGCAGCTCCAGATCATCAGCAGCAGCTGCGGCACCACCCCCAACGGCAGCCTGGGCCGCTGCGGCACCCCCGGCACCAAGGTCCCCCCCAGGGCGCTCCCTGCACGGGCACAGGTACCCCCTCACCACCACCGCCACCACTGCTGCGGGTGGATGGAGAGGGCTGGGTGGGGAAGGGTCGGGGTGCCCGCGTGGGTGCTATGGGGAAATGGAGGGTCCTGGAGGGGGGGATGCGAAAGGGAGGTTGCTTCTTGGTGGTTTCCGTGGTGAGCGTGGGCAAGGTGGTTCTATGGGATGATAGAATCATGGAATGGCTTGGAAGGGACCTTGAGATCACCCAGCTCCAACCCCTGCCACGGGCAGGGACCCCTTCCACTGGAGCAGCTTGCTCCAAGCCCCTGTGTCCAACCTGGCCTTGAACACTGCCAGGGATGGGGCAGCCACAGCTTCTCTGGGCACCCTGTGCCAGCGCCTCAGTAAAGAACTTCTGCCTTAGGTCTAACCTGAACTTCCCCTGTTTCAGTTTGAATCCATCACCCCTTGTCCTATCACTGCAGTCCCTAATGAAAAGTCCCTCCCCAGCATCCTTGTAGCCCCCTTCAGACACTGGAAGCTGCTCCGAGGTCTCCACGCAGCTTCTCTTCCCCAGGCTGAACAGCCCCAGTGTTCTCAGCCTGCCCCCATATGGGCAGTGCTCCAGCCCCTCATCACCCTTGTGGCCCTCCTCCAAGATGCTCCTCTGCATCCCATTTGGGTTTAGCCTCACCCCAAACCACATCAGGCCCAGGGTGCGTTATCAGGGTTGTCTCCCTTGGCTGCACCACTGGGTTTCACCACTTTGGCTCCTCTTGCCCATCTCCCCACAGAGAGACCGGCACCCAGGGCCAGGGGTGGCCGCGCATGGTCCTTACGGTGTGTCCAACCAGCGCTCCTCCTCCAGCACCGGGTGAGTGCCCCTGGGTCGTTCCTGACTGGAATCCTAATGGGATGCTCCGGGTTTTGGTGGGCGTCCCGGGAAGGGGACGCACGCCCTGGGGAGCGCTGAGGTTGAGCATCTCCATCCTGCAGGGCCTCAAGCCGGGCGAAAGCCGTGTCACAGAGCTCGGGCTGCTACGACAGCGACAGCGCGGAGCCGTGCCCCACGGACGACACCGCGGACGGGCACCCCTACCCCACACGGGACGGCGGCCGGGGCTCGGGGCTGCGCCGTCAGGCCATCCAGAACTGGCACCGCCGGCCCTACCGCAACAGCACCGAGGGCGAGGAGGGAGACGTGTCCGACGTGGGCTCCCGCACCACCGAGTCCGAGGCCGAGGGATGGGAGCCGGAGGCACCCGGATCCGCCGCATCCCGACCCACCGGCAGCTGCCGGCTCACGGGTGAGGCGCAATGGGGTCTGCTGGTGGGGTGGGAGGATGGGAGGTGAGGGATGCGGGTGGACGCGCAGAGCATCCCTTCATCCAAAGGAGCGTGACCAGCAGGGAGAAGGAGGTGATCCTGCCCCTCTGCTCTGCTCTCGTGAGACCTCACCTGGAGCATTGTGTGCAGTTCTGGTGTCCTCAACATAAAAAGGACATGGAACTGTTGGAACAAGTCCAGAGGAGGCCACGAGGATGATCAGGGGCTGGAGCACCTCCTGTATGAAGACAGGCTGAGAAAGTTGGGGCTGTTCAGGCTGGAGAAGAGAAGGCTGCGTGGAGACCTCAGAGCAGCTTCCAGTGTCTGAAGGGGGCCTATAGGGATGCTGGGGATGGACTCTTCATTAGGGACTGTAGTGACAGGACAAGGGGTAACGGGTTCAAACTGAAACAGGGGAAGTTTAGATTGGATCTAAGGAGGAAATTCTTTCCTGTGAGGGTGCTGAGGCACTGGAATGGGTTGCCCAGGGAGGTTGTGAATGCTCCATCCCTGGCAGTGTTCAAGGCCAGGTTGGATGAGGCCTTGGGTGCCATGGTTTAGTGTGAGGTGTCCCTGCCCATGGCAGGGGGTTGGAACTGGATGATCTTCAGGTCCTTTCCAACCCTAACCATTCTATGATTCTATGATTCATCATCCTCCAACAGTGGCCACTGATGGATGTCCCGCAGCCAGGACCGAGGGGGCCGGGGGCAAAGTGGGGTGGCTGGAGAGGGGCAGCCCCGGGCACTCCAGTGAGGTGATCAGCCCCGAGATCCTCAAGATGCGGGCAGCTCTCTTCTGCATCTTCACCTACCTGGACACCAAGACCCTGCTGCGGGCGGCCGAGGTGTGCAAGGACTGGAAGTTCGTGGCCCGGCACCCGGCCGTGTGGACACGGGTGCTGCTGGAGAACGCCAGGGTGTCCTCCAAGGTACCGGGGATGGGAGAGACCGTTCCTCTAGGATCACAGAGCGGTTGGGGCTGGGAAGGGCCTTCAGGTCATCCAGTTCCATCTAGAATGGTGCTGAGCGAGCGTCTCGCTGGTGGTGATTGTGGTGGTGTTATGGTCACGGCCACACGCGGCTGTGTGCCAGCACTGGTGGCTGGATGTGTTGCATGCTCACATGTGCATGCTTGTGGGCATGGGCTCACATGTACACGTGCTTTTGTCATACATGTGATTTGCACACAGCGTTTCCACATACATATGGCACGTGTGTGCGTGCAGAAATGCCTGTACGTGTGTGCATGTGCCAGGGATGGGTGGTTTGAGACATGCTGAGGGCATCCCTCATCAGTGACGGCCACCCCTGTCCCCCCAGTTCCTGGCCATGCTGTCCCAGTGGTGCACCCAGATGCATTCCCTCACCCTCCAAAACCTCAAGCCACGGCAGCGAGGGAAGAAGGAGAGCAAGGAGGATTACATGAAGAGCACACGGTGAGTCCTGGGCATCCTCCTCACACAGCCGGAGCCACTGCTCCTCAGGGACGATGATGCTCTGCGAGTCCCAGCATCCCGTTTCCGCTGATGGATGCCCATGGACCAACTCCTGCTGTGGGGTTTGGGTGTCCTGGAGCCCCACATCCCCTGACCCTGCTGCTATTCCCACCAGGGGCTGCCTGGAAGCCGGGCTCGAGTCCCTGCTGAAGGCGACGGGCAGCAACCTGCTCATCCTGCGCATCTCGCACTGCCCCAACGTGCTGACGGACCGGTCGCTGTGGCTGGCGAGCTGCTACTGCCGGGCCCTGCAGGCGGTCACCTACCGGTAAGGGGGGCACCAGCATCGCCCCTTGTTACCCTGGGGTCCTGTGGTTCCTTGGCTGGGAACATCCATGGGATAGGATTGTAGAATCATGGAATGGTTTGGGTTGGAAGGCAGCTTAAAGCTCCTCCAGCTCCAACCCCTGCCACAGGCAGGGACCCCTTCCACTAGACCAGCTTGCTCCAAGCCCCTGTGTCCAACCTGGCCTTGAGCACTGCCAGGGATGGGGCAGCCACAGCTTCTCTGGGCACCCTGTGCCAGCGCCTCAGTAAAGAACTTCTTCCTTACATCTAACCTGAACTTCCCCTGTTTCAGTTTGAACCCATCACCCCTTGTCCTGTCACTACAGTCCCCAATGAAGAGTCCTTCCCCACCATCCCTATAGGCCCCCTTCAGATACTGGAAGACTGCTCTGAAGTCTCCACACAGCCTTCTCTTCTCCAGGCTGAACAGCCCCAACTTCCTCAGCCTGTCTTCATACAGGAGGTGCTCCAGCCCCTGAGCATCCTCGTGGCCTCCTCTGGACTTGTTCCAACAGCTCCATGTCCTTCTCATGCTGAGGACCCCAGAACTGCACACAGTGCTGCAGGTGGGGTCTCACCAGAGCAGAGCAGAGCAGAGGGGCAGGATCACCTCCTTCTACCTGCCGATGTGCTGGGACTGCTCTGCTTCCCATCCCCATTCCCTGTCAGAACACAGCCCATCAGGCCAGGTGTGAAGGATCCACCTTTCCATGTGTCCCCAGAGCAAGCCATCCTCCCAACTCTCATCCTCTTCTGGCATGTTCCCATGCAGGTGTTTCCCTTCCAGCTCCATTCCCACCATCCCGGTACCATTCCCACCTCATCCGGAGTCATCAGCGGGGTCTTGGTGTGGGGACACTGCTTTGTGTTAGAGAAGAGGTGCACCAACACCAGGCCCCGGTGAGGTCCTACCTGACTGCTACCCCTTAAGGAAGGCTTCTAATGGGGAGAAGAGACCTTGGGGTCCTTGGAACAGCTCTGCCACAGGATTGCTAAGACCCACCCTGGACACCAGGATCATGATGCAGGTCCTTGAGGAGAGATCTCTGGCTGCTCCTTGGTCTTGGCCACCTCCAGAAGAGGCTCTTCCTCCGGTGGAGACAGGATTTACCTTTCCTATACACTCAAGGGGGAGGATCCTTGCTCCCCTGCACCACGTAGATGCCCCCTTGGCATCCATTTGATCTGCAGCTGATGGGTGCCCTGATCCAGCCCAGGATGGAGACTCCTTCAGACATGGCTCTGATGGGGGCATCCCACACCATGATGCAGCCCCGTGCTGCTGGGTTTGACCCCAAGACTCCTCCATCAGCCCTTCCAAGGGCATCGGAGCCGGCTCAAGCTCTCCTGGCACGTTGCTAACCTGTGACTGACTCATGCTCTGATTAACCCAAACACAAGGGGCTCTTGGAAGCTTCTTCAGTGGAGACACGTGCAGCACTCCAGATAACACCCATCGCCTATTTTTAGGTTGCCTCTAGCTTTGAAGTGGGTCATTTGGAGTCGGGAAGCGTGGCCCAGGAGGCAGCTTCACGGCCTGAAAGAGCCTTTGGGCTGGGGGCATCAGGGTGATGCTCTCTGAGCTCTCTCCTCCATTGACTTGGTACTGGAAGCCAACAGTGAAAGCTCCTCTGAGGCAGTGGCAGCACGCCTAAACCTGCACCTCCATGGAGCCAGCAGCACCCATGAGGCCTGTTTGATACCTCCAAAACACAAGGAAGACCCTACAGGACACCTCTGCAGCAACATCTGGCCAAGAGCCACCTACAGACGTGGTGGCGCAACCGCAGAGCTGGTACAAGGCCATGGAGTTACCATCCCTCAGCTGAAACATCCTTAACCACGTCCTGGCACCTTCCCCATCCGGGCTGGGCGGGTGGAGAACGAATCCAACCCAATGGGACCTGCAGGGATTTGCTCTGCAAGGGTACATGGCCTGGCTGGCTCAGTTCCATCACTTGACACCTTTGTATCTGGAAGACTTTGACCTTCACCTTCAGCCAATAACTTCACCTTCAGCCTTACCCCATCCTCAACCTCACCTTCAGGCTCACATCAAACTCACCTTCAACCAACAACCTCACCTTCAACCAACAACCCCACCTTCAACCATCAACCTTCCCTTCAGCCTAACCTCATCTTCAGCCTCACCTTCTTCCATTCTTAGTTGCCATTCCACATCCATAGGCACAATTCCAGACAGAAATGCCTCCAGCCTTCCCGCATGGATCGGTGTTGGGATTGTCTGACCACGGGCTATGAATAACAACCAGATTTGTTCCTCCAGGTGCAGGGAGATGCAGCATCACAGGGGCTGCAGACACAGCCCCCAGGGCAGCATCACTGCCAGTGGGGGCCACCACGTGTCCTCTGTGTTGTTCCAGGAGCGCTACGGACCCTGTGGGTCATGAAGTGATCTGGGCCCTTGGAGCAGGCTGCAGGGACATCATCTCCCTCCAGGTCGCACCTCTGCATCCCTGGTAAGAGCCATGTTAGGAGGAGGCCAGGTTGGAAAGGTCCAGATTTGCTGGAGGGGGGGAAGCTCCTTTGAGGCCAGTTTTGGGGACCAGGACCTCAGTCCCATCCCTCCCTGTCCTGGCTGGGCGGTGATGGGGATAGACACAACCCTGATGAGGCAGGAATGTTTCCAGGGCACTGCTAACACCAGAGATGAAAGGGGAGCCGTGATGGGTGACACTGAACATCAAAGGCTTATCTGAGCTCCTCACTGCTCATGTAACAGCAGCCCTGAAGGGCCTGGATGGCTTTAAACATCGAGTCGCTGCTTAGGGAGATGGCTGCAGTTGTTCTTGTGCTGGAAAAGCATTCTGGGGGGATCAAGATGCTGGTGGATCCCCACCCCACAACGTCTCAGTGCTAAGGGGTTCACGGAGCAGAGCAGGTCACCTCCATGCCATGGGGCTTGCTCGGGGCATTTCTTCTTGTCCTGGGATGGTTGCTGCAGTGTCATGTCCCCCCACAGCCTGGATTGAGGTGCACAGAGGCGGGTGTCTCCTGGCAGGAGAATCATAGAACCATGGAGTGGTTTGGGTTGGAAGGGGCCTTAAAGCTCCTCCAGCTCCAACCCCTGCCACGGGCAGGGACCCCTTCCACTAGAGCAGCTTGCTCCAAGTCCCTGTGTCCAACCTGGCCTTGAACACTGCCAGGGATGGGGCAGCCACAGCTTCTCTGGGCACCCTGTGCCAGCGCCTCAGCACCCTCCCAGGGGTGAGCCCCTGCCTCGTGTCTCATCCCCATCCTCTCCCCGTTCCCAGCCAGCAGCCGACGCGATTCAGCAACCGCTGCCTCCAGATGATCGGGAGGTGCTGGCCCCACCTGCGGGCGCTGGGCGTCGGAGGGGCAGGATGCGGCGTCCAGGGCCTGGCCTCCTTAGGTAGGAGAAGCTCTGCTCGGGGCGGGGGCAAGGGCAAGGGGAAGGGACCTTGCTGGGGGCAGGCTATAACCCTAGGAGATGCCCCATGGGGACCTCTGTGAGGAAACCCACGCCAAGAACCAGGCGTGCACCCTGCCCCTCCTTGGTGCCACCCATCCCTTCTATCACCCCTTTCCCATCAGTGGCCTTATCCCTTCCCTGATGGAATCAACCAGGTTGGAAAAGCCCTTGAAGCTCATCCAATCCAACCAATCCCCAGCACTGCCAAGGCCACCACTAACCCATGGCACTGAGGGCCTCGTCTCCATGGGTTTGGGAACACTTAGGAGGGTTCTTTGTCCTTCCAGCCCGAAACTGCATGCGGCTTCAGGTCCTGGAGCTGGACCACGTGGCGGAGATCAACCAGGAGGTTGCAGCGGAGGTCTGTCGAGAGGGGCTGAAAGGGCTGGAGATGCTGGTGCTGACCTCCACACCGGTCACCCCCAAAGCCCTGCTGCACTTCAACAGTGAGTAGCAATGCCAGGGATGGAGGCAAAGCATCGTCCATTGGCCAAAAGGCCACCAGGTATCCAGGTCCATGAACCAGAGCTTGCCTTCCAGCTGCACCCACAGAACCCAGTGCCAACACTGGGAGTAACGGAGCTCCATGGTGGAAGAGGGGATCCAACAGATCCCTGCCAAGGATGGGTTAAGAAGAGCTGATCTAGCTATGGGCTATAGGAAGATGGAGACCTCAATGTCTCCATTGAATGTAATCAAGGACTCAATGCCTGTGGCACACCTGAGGTTCACCCTCATCCGGGTTTGGAGCCACACCATTTACTGAAGCTGTTTGATAGGAGCCCCTGGGGAAAGAGGCTTGACACCAGCAGCAGGGTCTGTTTGAGGACTGCTCCTGGTGGTCACGCACGTGTGGCTGTGCTTGGACTTGCTGGGAACCATCCTCTGCGTGGAAGAGGAAGGGTTTCCCAAGGGCCATTTGGGATAGGGCAATCAGGGACCAGCTCGGAGAGCACCACCTCCCTACAGGGGTCATCAAAAACGGGTCTCCTCCATCCTCAAGGTGAGGTTTGCCCAGAAGCAGGAGGCCTTGAGGAGCACTGGGCGGGTTTTTGGGTCCATGATGTTTGAGCCGAGCTATGGAGACACCAGGCACTATCTGTACCGCAGGTGTGTGCCGGAACCTGAAGTCCATCGTCGTGCAGGTGGGCATCGTGGACTACTTCAAGGAGCCCCATAGCCCTGAAGCCAAGAAGATGTTTGAGGAAATGGTGAACAAACTCCAGGTAAAGGATGTGAGTCCCAGGTGACCCCCGTGTCACCAGCCCCAGGTCCCCTTGGAGGCCGGGGGCAAACTCATCCACTGCGGTAGCCATTGAATCATCGAGTCACAGAGTGGTTTGTGTTGGAAGGGACCTTAAAGCTCATCCAGTTCCAACCCCTGCCATGCACAGGGATGCCTCAGACAGGCTGAGAGAGCTGGGCTGGGGCAGCCTGGACAAGAGAAGGCTCCTGAAGGGGAGACCTGAGAGCAGCTCCAGTGCCTGAAGGGGCTGCAGGAAAGCTGGAGAGGGGCTTGGGACAAGGGATGTAGGGACAGGCCAAGGGGAATGGCTTGAACCTGCCAGAGGGGAGACTGAGATGAGCTCTTAGGCAGAAGCTCTTCCCTGGGAGGGTGCTGAGGCGCTGGCACAGGGTGCCCAGAGAAGCTGTGGCTGCCCCATCCCTGGCAGTGTTCAAGGCCAGGTTGGACACAGGGGCTTGGAGCAAGCTGCTCTAGTGGAAGGGGTCCCTGCCTGTGGCAGGGGTTGGAGCTGGAGGAGCTTTAAGGTCCCTTCCGACCCAAACTATTCAATGATTCCATGTCCTCCCCCACCAACCCCACTCTTTCCTCCTCTTCCAGGCCCTGAGGAAGAGACCCGGCTTCTCCAAGATCTTGCACATCAAGGTGGAAGGAGGCTGTTAGTCCTTCAGGGAACCACAAAGCACATTCCCAGAGGCTCCGTGAAACCAAACCCACCGTCGCTGCTCATCCGTTGCCGGACCCGGGGCACGGAGACACCGGCTCATGCACAAAGAAACCCTGAACCCTTGCAGGCCTCAGGGACGGGCAACCAGAGCCTGTCCCCAAGGCCAGCTCACGGGCAAAAGGTGCTACTTCAGGACATTTTTGGCTGCCCAAAGAGGCAGGGCTTGTTCCTGGGAGGGAAGATGACTTCGAACCTCCCTTTGTGGCTGCTCATTGCCAAGGATCCTTGTTTGGGGAATGTCTTTCTCTTCAATCTCTGTTTCTGGGGGGGTTTCGGTTGGTTGGTGGTGTGGGAGCTGAGGATGGATCTGCCAAGAGCCCACCGTTGTCAGCATCACGGCTGGACCATCCTTATCCATCCATGGGATGATGGAGGTTGGGTGGGAAGGGGCTGTTCCTCCGGAGGAAACAGTGCTCAGCATTCCTGCAGGATTTCCACTCGTTTCCATGTCCATTTGTGTATCAGAGGGACACCCAAACCCGGGATAACACTGCCCAGAAGCCAGCAGCCACCACAGCACAAGCGCGCGTGGCAGAGCTGCATCCCGGGGCTGTAGGAGCCAGAGGACACCATGGACATGATGGTTCCAGCCTCACCTCCTGCCCACCCAAACCCTCCTGCCAAGGCAATAAACCATCTCCAAAGTCCTCATCCACAAGGAAGCACGGGTCATGCTTCTGTCCCCATCAGCATCCACCGGAGCTCAGAGTCCCACCGGAGCGCGTTGTCCCATGCGGAGTTTGGGACTGGAATGGGGCACCCACATTTGCCATCTCATCGCCTTCCTGAGCAGCCTGAAGGAGAAATCCTGGCCAAACTGCCCTGACGTCCAAAGCTGCTGTGAAAGCACCAACCCAACTGCCCTGTAGATCCTTTACCTATGGCCACAGCTGGGTTTTCATCCCTCTTTGTTTCTTCTCCATCTTCTGCTGTGAGGACACCATCACCCCCAAAACACCCTTGTTCCAAAGGAAAAGGCTTTGGGAAGGCATCCAGCAGGGTCAGGCATCTCCATCCTCCACCCTGAAGGTGCCAGGAGGTGCCTATGCCATGGGGACACCCATCACAGCACTGCCAGCAGCAGGGACCTATCAGCACCCTGCAACCCTGAGCCCCAACCAGGCGTGATTGGACCCGATGTGCTGAGCAGAGAGGAGCCAACAGAGAAAAGCAGATCTGGGGGTTGTCCTCTTCTCTGGACCATCGCTGGGAGGGCTTGGTGCCTGTTGGTCAATGTGGATGTGAGTAGACAGCCCTTTGCAGGGCATCTCCCTTCCTGGAGGTGATGGGTTGCCACGGAGCATCCCCCGGGAGGATGAAGGCTGTGGACCCATCTTGGTACCACCTTCCTTCCTCATCTATGGCATGGGAGCTGCAGAGCTCAGCTGAGGGCTCCCAGCGTGTGACAGCCCATTGGGACCCTGGTAGAAACCAAACTGGATTCCGAATGAAGCTGGTGATGGGCTGGAGGCCTCCAACCCCAGGAAGCACCTCAGGAGACCATGTCATCCACCCATCATCCCGTCTACGCTGTCTCCTCTGAAACAGGGTAAGGTTCTTGGCCATAACCCCCTATCTGAAGCACCCCATTCCCCCTGTGACTGCAGCTTTCCAGGAGAAGGCTGTTCCCTAGGGACAGAATGTGGGAGCCCAAAAAAGCCTGTGAGAAACCACCTTGTCCCATCATATCCCAATGGGCAGCAATGGATGAGCTCCCAAGGTGCCCACCATCACTTTACCTCCACCCCCGGAGGTTGGAACATGCATAATCCAGGGGCAAGAAGAGCAACAGATGCCCCAACCAGCAAAGAAGAACCACCCAGCAAAGCTACGATCATCTGGGGACCATCCATCCTCCATCCCACCAGCACGGTCCCAAGTGGAGATGTTCCCATTGGAAACAGGGCAGAGACTTGTGAAATTCCCTTAAAAAAATAAGAAAAACCACAAAGTATTTATTTCTATACAGAAAAAAAAAGGAAAAGAGAAGAGTTTAAAGGCAAGTTCTATCCTCAGCATGTTTATACCCTCTACGCTTAAAGACTATCGTGTTGGAGAGTCATGGTTGAAGACTGAAGGTGGTTGCTCCAGGTTTGCTGTGTTCCCAGCTCCTCACCTGGCTCCTCCAGGCCATGGGAAGGGGAGGATGGGATGATGGGAAGCAGGGGGAGATGTTGAGGACACGTGGAGAAACCTTCAGTGCTCATCAGTGAGCTGGTGCCATTGGTGGCCATGGCTGGTGGATGTGGAGCGTTGGGTGGATGCGGGATGTCCCCATCCCATCGCTGCCATGAGGGGTTTGTGAGCTGCGGCAGGACAACCTCACCCCAAATTGGTGCTTTGGTGTGACCAGACCAACCCATCCCCCTCCCCTTGGGGTGTGATTCCCAAAAAGTCCACCTTCTGGCTTAGCAAAGCCAAGTCTTTACCAAAATCCGGCGACGACACAAGATCTTGAGGAGGTTTGAGGGTTGTAAGACGGAAAGTTGGGTTTTCTGCCCCGTTTTGCACCTTTTGCATTGTTTTGCACCAGGGCTGGGCAATCCCAGGCACAGCTACAGGTTGGGTGGAGAAGTGATTCAGAGCAGCCTCAGGAGAAGGACTTGGGGGTGCTGGGTGAGGAGAAACTGAACAGGAGCAACCGTGTGCACAGTTCTGGTGTCCTCAACATAAGAGGGACGTGGAGCTGTTGGAGCGAGGCCAGAGGAGGCCATGGAGATGCTGCGAGGGCTGGAGCAGCTCTGCTCTGGAGCCAGGCTGAGAGAGCTGGGCTGGGGCAGCCTGGACAAGAGAAGGCTCCTGAAGGGGAGACCTGAGAGCAGCTCCAGTGCCTGAAGGGGCTGCAGGAAAGCTGGAGAGGGGCTTGGGACAAGGGATGGAGGGCCAGGCCAAGGGGAATGGCTTGAACCTGCCAGAGGGGAGACTGAGATGAGCTCTTAGGCAGAAGCTCTTCCCTGGGAGGGTGCTGAGGCGCTGGCACAGGGTGCCCAGAGAAGCTGTGGCTGCCCCATCCCTGGCAGTGTTCAAGGCCAGGTTGGACACAGGGGCTTGGAGCAAGCTGCTCTAGTGGAAGGGGTCCCTGCCCGTGGCAGGGGTTGGAGCTGGAAGAGCTTTAAGGTCCCTTCCAACCCAAACCATTCCATGATTGTTTCCTGGGCTCAGATGGGTCGCTTCCTCCTCCTCCTCCTCCTCCTCAGCTGGGATGAAGGAGGCTGGCACAGTGACACAGGCTTGGTGGTAACCAGAGCCCCGCATCTCTCCCGGTAGCTCCTCATTAGCCATGTTGTTAAAGGCAACGAGTTCATTAAGCAGCTCCCTGTTTCCTCCACTGAAATGTCAGATTGATCCTTTCCCTGCTGTTTTCCCTCCCCCATCCCTACGGGATGCTCTGGCAACGCTGCCCATGGGTTCCCCGCATCCATCGTGGGGTTTCAACTCCACTTCCTCCTGATACGACGGAGAAATTACCAAATCCCCTGGGAATGCCTTGAAATCAAGGTGCTGGTCGGGAAGGGACCACAGCAGTGTGAACTCAACCCCATACTAGACCCTAGAGAAGCCCCGCAGTGCCTCTGCAATGACAATCCCCAGCAAAAGCCAGGGCACAGCCACCCACCATGGGCTGAGCATCAGTGCTGAGAAGCTTTAGTTCAGGGTCATGGTGATGGCCCCATCTGATGGAGGTTGGATGGATGGAGCTGATGGCTCCTGCCAACCCCGATTCCCACAGGATCAGTTTAATGGAATTTTAGTACTTTTCCAGTGAGTTTGCCCCAAATTGCCCCATTTGTGGCGTAAGCTTCACCTGAATTTGGGTGCTGGGATCTCATGAGGAACACCACCAGCAAAGCCACCTTGGAGGTCAAATTTGTCCCCAGTCTATGTTTTTCTCAATGGGGTGTTGAGTTTTGGCCCCAGGAGCTGAGGATGCTCCAGGGACCAGCTGCCTCCATCCCTTTATGGGAGCAGGGGTGGAAGGTCGTGAAGGAAAGGGGAATTCTCACACTGGCTCTGCTCAAGCCTCTTTATCAAGCAAAGGCAGCAGGAAAAACATCCCATTTCTTGCCATCAGGCATGGTCCCAGCTGCCCCCCAAGGAACATCCATGCCCAGTGGGCTTGGATCCTCCAAAAGGCTCTAAATGTGGTTAAACCAGACCAAAACCCCCCTGGGAAGTGGTGATAAAGGCTCTGGAAGTGACTGATGGATGCGTTCTGGTGGCTCTTAGAGGAGCTCCCACCCCAGGAGCTGGCTCCTCATTGAAGCTGTGGCTGCCCCATCCCTGACAGTGCTCAAGGCCAAGTTGAACACAGGGGCTTGGAGCAAGCTGCTCTAGTGGAAGGGGTCCCTGCCCGTGGCAGGGGTTGGAGCTGGAGGAGCTTGAAGGTCCTTTCCAACACAAGCCATGCTTTGGTTTCATGATTTTGGGTTGAAAACCTGCAGGCTGGGATGGAATAAAAGCATCTGGGAGGAGTAAAAGGATTCGGGAATTGGTGCCAAATCACAAAATGCTTTAAAATACTAAAACCCAAGAGAAAAAGAACATGGAACGGAGAGATTTCGCAACTGGAGATGGTTTGTTGCAACCAAAGCATCACGAGTGGTACTGATGCACGACATTCCCCACCATGGGAGGCAAAGTAACCCCTGCGGTGGGTGCAACGATCCCTTCTGCCCATGGAGAAGCTGCTGCACATCCTCCCTGGGATGACAGAGGAGGGAAAATTGGGATCCAGCCTCAGGATCGAGCCCCGTGGAGGGCTGGGATGAGGCAGTTGGGGCCGGGGCCAAATGGGTGCAATGGTGTGGGATGGCTTTTGGCTTCTCTTGCTTAGAGATAATCAGAGGATGGAGAGAAATATATATATATATGATATATATATATATATAAAATCCAGGAATCACAATCATATCCCTAAAGCACCTCACGGCAGTGGCTGCTCTGGTGGTTTTCCAGCATTCCCAAAGGCAGCAGTTGCCTCCCGAGTTGGTATTTTTTTAACTCTATCCAAATTGAGGTCTATTTTAAGTCTTTTTTGCAGCCATGTGCCAGTGTCTGGAGAACCAAACGTCCCTTTTCCCCATCCCCTGGTCCTGCTAAACAGGGTCCTGGCTGCTAAATCCACTGGGAAGAGCGGTGGGGACAGGGGGTGCGGGGACAAGGGTCAAGGTGGTGGTGGTGGCAGGAGACCGTGTCTTTAGCACTTTGGTTGGTACTATCACCTGTAGATGCACTTTGATGTTGTTGCTTTGACATTTGCCGAGTGTAAACCATGTGTATTTAAAGAATTCCAGGAAAACCCAAGAATTAACCCTCTTCCCAAGGTGTGTAAAGAGCTATTTTATGATTCGGTGTTGAATAAAGACTCTGGAGATTGAGGTGGGGCTTTCACTCTGCTCTGGCACCAAACCAGTGGGACCAGTTTGGTGAGGGGGGGGGGGGGGCTTTACTGGGCAGAGTGGGACCCTGGAAGCCCTTGGCTGTGGAAGATGCTGTCAGAGAGCCTGGAGGCAGCAGTGAGCAAAGGGAGGGCTCAGAAAGGAATGAAAGGGATTCAACTCCCATGCCAAGGACCTTCAGCAATGGAGGGGGCTGATCTTGGACCACTGCAGAGGGAAGAGGTGAGTTTGAACACTTTTGTGCCAGTTCTCTGCTGAAAAAAACCTTAAACATGTATTTCTGAACAGACCTGAATGAAAAACAAGGAAAAGGGGGACTGATTTTTGGTGGAGGAGAGCCCAGATGGCTGAAGGATTCCCAGTTCCCAGGTTATTTGCCATCCAGAGGGACCTGGATGGGCTGGAGAAGTGGGACCACGTAAACCTCATGGAGGTCAACAAGGCCAAGTGCAAGGGTGGGAGCAATCCCAAGCACAAACAGAGGCTGGGGGATGAAGGGATGGAGCAGCCCTAAGGAGGACTTGGGGGTGTTGGGTAAGAAGCTCCCCATGACCCAGCTTCAGTGAGCACTTGAGCCCAGAACCACCCTGTGTGCTGGGCTGCACCCCCAGAGCATGAGCAGCAGCTCAGGGAGGGGATCCTGCCCCTCTGCTGTGCTCTGGGGAGACACCCCCCCCCCCCTGCAGGAACCAAGAGGGTTTAACACACAAGCTGTGGCTGCGCTGGCTCTTCAGGACAAACCCTCACGTGCTGTGAACGTGTTCCAGCAGAGAGGAAGAGCCACAACCATCACATTAAGGGACATGCCCCATGTCCCCAGTGTCTGTCACATGGCAGAGCTTTATGAACATTCTGTGGTGTAACAGACCATCAACTTCCCTGATTAAACAAGATCTTAAAGGGTTGGTATCAAACAGATACCCCATTTCTGCCACTCTCCTCTATTACCACTTTCAACCTATCAGACCCAAGTGTCTCCCTATTCCCCAGTGGGATTTCCTATGGGAGATGGTCCCAGCGCTAGGATGCAGCTCTGAAGTACCATCAGTCCCTCACAGGGGCAGAGACAGACGCAGCTACTGCTCTGAGCCTCCTTCTAGGAAGGAAAAGATGGGATTTAAATGGACAGTTAAGTAAAAGCAAGCAGAAATGTCACTGAGCAATAGGTGGGAGCTCCATGAGAGAGCCCCTGCACAAAGGTAAATGTCTGGGAAGCACAGGGAAGCAGATCTGCTTCCCAGCACAGAACCTGCTTTTAGACAGGGCAAAAACCAGTCTGAGAGGTTCACCTTTAACTCCAGCCATGAGCTACCACCCTCCAGGGTGCAGCATGCACCAGAGAACAGAGAAAGCCCCAAATGTGCCACTGAAACAAAGTCACCTCTTTATTCTGAGCCTGGATTCCAACCCTCCAGCAGGAAAACAGAAAGGAAATAAAAGGAGTATAAATACAAACCACCCCACAGCGGCTGCACAACCTGCCCGGGCCCAAAGGGCTCCACTCAGCATGGCTTCCATGTGGAATGGCGAGGCAAAGCCTAAGGAGATCAGTGCTGTGCAGGGTATGCTGGGGCTGAGCTTCTCCCAGGGGGGCTGTGGTGCCCAGGCCAAGATCTGGCTCTAATTCAACACGGGCAGCGGTTGCCTGTGACCACATGGTGCAGGGCCTCTTAATTCACCTCGAAATCCTAATTCCTTCTCACTTTGCACGTTGGAGGAGAGCTCCAGCCCCATGGGGAGCAGGTCTCAGTGGTTGTGGGCTTTACCTCGACCCCTGCCCCGGGCACTGGGCGCAGCATCCACAGTGGAACGAGGGTTCTTGATGGTTTCATCCACGGAGATGATGAGACAGGCGGCCTCGGAGGCGGCCGTCAGCGCGTTGATGCGCACGATGGCCGGTTCCCACACGCAGGCCTCGAAGTTGTCAGCAATGTCCTCGTTGTTCACGTCCACACCGTACCACGTGCCCCCCTGAGGGACAGAGCAGGGGACACGGTGTTGTTAGTGGGTTGGTAAAGTTGGATTGGGGCTTGGAGCAAGCTGCTCCAGTGGAAGGTGTCCCTGCCCATGGCGGGGGAGTGGAACTGGAGGAGCTTTAAGGTCCTCTCCAACACAAACCAGTCTGTGACTTCAAGCCATGCACTTGGAAGCAAAGGCAAGCAGGGAGAGGCAGAGACTGGACCCTGCTCTGTGAAGGAAGAATCATGGAATCAGCCAGGTTGGAAAGGACCTTTAAGATCATCAAGTCCAACCCGTACCCCAGCACTGCCAAGGCCACCACTAACCCATGGCACTGAGGGCCTTGCCTACATGGTTTATGAACACTTCCAGGGACGGTGACTCCAGCCCTGCCCTAGGCAGCCTATTCCAAGAATAATATTTGAAGGGAACACCCAAAAAGCCTTTGTTGTCAGCAAAGCTTCACAAAAGAGGTGTGCTCCATCTCGAGGAGAAGCTCTAGAACCTTCAGGACTGGCTTCCACACCACTGCTGTGCCACTCCCCCACCTACAGCCCCTGTTTTGCAGCCCAAGATAGAGCTGCTTCTTCCAGGGCACCTCTCTATCCCCACAATCATCAGTGGGATGAAACGTGGCAGGAGTGACCCTTCAAAGCAGCAGCTACTATTGAGAGAAGCCAAAGAGCAAACTGCTGCCTGAATGAGCAAGGGCTTGCACACACAGGGTCCAAAATGATGGGAGGAAACCAGGACCTTCCATCTGCAGCTGCTCTGGAAAGCACATGGCCAACTCCTGTATTCCATGGCAGGGGGTTTGGAACTGGATGATCTTAAGGTCCTTTCCAACCCATGGAATCTGATTCAATGAATGACTTCCATGTTGAATCTAGAAGCTCCCCCTTGACAAATGATGCATCTTTAAGAAGCAACTCAAACCTCCCATCACCCAACAGTTAGGATCAAAGGGAAAACACATCAGTCCCTTCTATAGGAACCTGGACCACGTGATGTGAAAGAGGACACAAACCTCACATGGGTTGAATTCCATCAGATCCATCAAGAGAAAGAAGAAAAGGAGGAAAGAAGCCACACACATCCCACTGGTTCTCCCCAACTGGAGGTTCAGAGGTGGGCACCTACCTGTGCATGTTTGGCTCGGAGCTTGTTGAGGATGTTGGTGGCATCAAAGCCAGCATTGTCACAGAGCTGGCGGGGAATGATCTCCAGGGCTTTAGCATAAGCACCTATGAGCAGCTGCTGCTTGCCTGGAATGGTCCTGGAATAGTCCCGGAGGTATTTGGAAAGCTCCATCTCTATGGCACCGCCACCGGCAACAACTGAGTCATTCTGGAAGGAAAGGGGAAACTCTTGTTACTGTGTACTGAGTTTGGGTGGAAGGAGTTGGTAGAGGGGGGCTCCAGGGGTGAGAAGGTGCTGGAAGCTTCTCCCATGCCTGAAGCCAACTGGCTCCAAGGTGGATCCACCGCTGGGCAACAATGAACCCATCAGTGATGGAGGCAGCACCTCCGGGATAAGGGATTTAAGAAGGGGAAAAGAAACCTGCACAAGAGAAACTTCAGGCAGAGGGAGGAGTGAGAACATGTGAGAGGAGCAGCCCTGCAGACCCCAACGTCAGCACAGAGGGAGGAAGGAGGTCTCCAGGTTCCTCTGCTCTGTGGTGCAGACCATGCAAGCCCTGCAGCCTGTGGTGAAGACCATGGTGAGGCAGGATGTGCCCCCACAGCCTATGAAGGTCCATGGTGGAACAGAATCCACCTCCAGCACACGGAGGCTGCCACAGTGGACCAGGCAGATGCCTGAAGGAGGCTGTGACCACAAACCAGTCTGTGACTATGCAGAACCCGAAACACCCCCAGTTAGGAAGCATCTGGCACACAGGACCAGCAACTCCACAAGCAGAGCAAACATCCACCACATGCCTCAGACACCCCTCATGGTGCTCCCAGCCCATCTTCACAGCCAGGGGACAGTGGCCCTTCAGACTGGTTACTCAGAGAGGGGGGGAACACGTGGCTTTACCAGGCTCTGACACACACATCAATCCTGCTACTCAAACCTACTGCAGATCTATCCGACACAGCCAGGAGCTCATGCTCCCTTTAGGGTGGAGATAGTCTCCAGAACACACCACACAGCAGGCACACGTTACAGCTGCACTGAAGAGCAGGGGTGCCTGAAAAGCAGTTGGGAAGCTGCAGAGACAACACTGCTTTGGCCAAGGAACAGCACTTGAGCTCCTCAATCAGATGCTGCCAATCTGTGCCCTCCATCAGCTGAGAGCTCCTGACCTTCCCACAAAGCCCTCAGCCAAATGCTGCTGTGTGATGCTTCTATGAGTTAGAGCTGTGCCAGCTCACCTCAACAACCCCGATGTCACACCAGCAGGGAGGTACCTCCTCTGGTCCTTACCTTGATGGCTCTCCTGACTATCATGATGGCATCGTGCAGGGACCGTTCCGTCTCCTCCATGAACTGCTCTGCGCCCCCCCGCAGGATTATTGTGCAGGTCTTTGCCTTGGGGCAGCCTGTGAAGATGTTGTACCTGCAAGAGCACAGGGCAAGGAGGGTTACAAAGAGGGACGTGGAGCTGCTGGAGTGACGCCAGAGGAGGCCATGGAGATGCTGCGAGGGCTGGAGCAGCTCTGCTCTGGAGCCAGGCTGAGAGAGCTGGGCTGGGGCAGCCTGGACAAGAGAAGGCTCCTCAAGGGGAGACCTGAGAGCAGCTCCAGTGCCTGAAGGGGCTGCAGGAAAGCTGGAGAGGGGCTTGGGACAAGGGATGTAGGGACAGGCCAAGGGGAATGGCTTGAACCTGCCAGAGGGGAGACTGAGATGAGCTCTTAGGCAGAAGCTCTTCCCTGGGAGGGTGCTGAGGCACTGGCACAGGGTGCCCAGAGAAGCTGTGGCTGCCCCATCCCTGGCAGTGTTCAAGGCCAGGCTGGACACAGGGGCTTGGAGCAAGCTGCTCTAGTGGAAGGGGTTCCTGCCCATGGCACAGGTTGGGACTGGGTGAGCTTTAAGATCCCTTTCAATCCAAACCAGGCTGGGATTCCATGCTTACACAGCACTACATCCTCACAACTGGTGTTATCTACCTCTCTCCTCCAATCTGAGTCTCCTCAAAAAGATCACATCGACCCAGGACATCATCTGACAGCGCATTGACACTTGTCTGAATGGAACCACCACAGGCCTGCAGGCAGAGGAAAGAAGCCCAACATTACCAACACCAAGAACCAAGACACATGTGCCCAGCAGGCTCCACTCTTCAGACACAGTCTTTTACTGCTGTAACAACCACCCCACAGGTCAGATTCAGAGAAAACCCCTTCTAGTTCCCCTCCCACCTTGTGCATGCCTGCAGGCACCGACAGCAGATACAATCCCTGACAGCAAAATAAGACTGTGCTGCTTCCCAGTGCTGACTCACAGGTTCTGGAGTCCAGCAGCTACAAGAAGAAAGCTAAAACCCACTCATGATGGAACAGGAAAGGATATGGGAAAATAAACCTCTGCTGATGGAATGTACAGACCTTAACAGAGAACAACAGCAGAGAAACCAAAAGGCAGTGCAGATGCATTGAAGGTGTGATTGCTCCTTCCATCAAGGAACAGCTTTGTCAGTATATGGCAACTTCACATAACCACAGTGGTAAAAATGATGTGATTTTAACTTTAAATCTTTCTGTGCTCAGCCACCAGCTGCTGCCTTGTCTGGGAGTGACCAGCCTGGTCCTGTTACTACTGAATCAAACCTTCATTGTGACTGAAGGGATCTCACCATCATTGTTCGCTTGAGGTCTTCTTCTGGGACACGGCCAGCACAGAACATGTCTCTGTCTGCAAAGTACTGAGTGGCCACATCTCCAATAGGAAGCTTGGACAGGACAACTTTGGCTCCTGACTTGTGGATTTTGTCTAGTTTGTCATACAAGATGTTCCACTCAGCATCCACAATGGCCTGGTAATCCTGGGAGGAGAAAGGAAGCAGTGTTCATGTTACAGAGGGCTGCAAACACCATCCTGTGGTGCAGCAAGGAAAGAGCTCTTCTCCAAGGAAGGCAGCAGTGGTCCTGCTCCATTCAGCTCCAGACAACTGCTTCCTAAGACCTAAAAATGATTTTAGGGCACTTTATTTATGCCAAAGAGACACAACTCTTAAAATGCTTCCAGATGCAGAATGGAGTTGATAAGGGGGATGGATGAGCTGGTACAGAGGCAGTGACAGCTCAAGAGAGAGCACAAGGAGGAGGAAGGGGTTATACTGATGTCTGAGAGGTGCTCACAGAACTGTGCAGGGATGCTGGGGTGCAGAGACAGTATCACAGAGGGAAAACACTGATCCCAAGAAACCTACTTTATCAGGGTGCTTGGGATTCACCAGCCTGTTGTGCTCTGCTTGCTAGTGAAACACAGCCACAAACAGCTGGATATCTCACCCAAGGACACAGCAACACCAGGACAACAGCCAAGTATGGGAAACACCACTGTGTCCATCACAGCAGAGAGGGGGCTTTAAGGGAACAACTATTAACATAACAGTGGGGCCAAGCCCCCATAAGCAAAGCACCCAGAGGTCTTTAATACCACAGATACACAGGAACCAACTGCATGCAGCTTCCCAAGAAGGTGTCAGAGAATGACCATGGCTCATAAAGGGATTTTAAGATGGATGAAAAACTATTGTCCAATTGTTTGCTTAAATATGGAGAGGCTCTTTTGGGATTCACAGCACTGGAAAGGCATTATTAGGCATAAAGAGGTCATGGCAAAGCTGATGGCACATCATGGGATAGCCGAGGGACCGTGAGCGAGCAGAAAAATGCCCTTAAATCTGTCATTCAGAGTCTGTCATTCCCTTCTCCCACATGAGGTACCGGGAATTAGATGATCTTTAAGGCCAATTCCAACCCAAAGCATCCTACAACCCCCCATCTATTTTCAGGGAGGAAAAGGATGTGCAGAAGGGAATGCCGTTTCTCCCACTGGCTCCCAAGCAGGCAGCAAGCATAAGGAAGCAGGAGAGGTTCAGCTCTTACCTCCACAGTGTTCACTCTGATTTCAGCATTGTCCTTCTCAGCTTTGAGCTCCAGCTCCACGTTCAACAAGGCGATTTTGGGACACTGATACTTCTTGGGCTGCATTTCAAAGCCAGCATAGCAGAAGGTCTTCTTAAAGGCCACTCCAGCCACCAGCTGAGAGTCCTTCAAGACAGGGATCTGTGTTAGGCTCAGCCCCCCCAAGGTTCTCTCCACAGCGCTCCTAACTCCCACAGGAGACTCCCTGCTTTGAGTCCTCATTTCCAAAGTGTTCACCAAGTGCTGTCTCCCTTGAGTAACCCACTTTTAGGGAAAACAAGCAGCATCTTCTCCCTGTTCACAAAGCAGCTTCTATCACTCCCTTCCTCCCCTCAAGACACCACAATAAAAGATGCTACACACAAGCTGAAGACCAAGGGATGGAGCATCTGTTCTCTGATGTCTTTCTCATTTCTCCCTTTGAAGATGGATACTTCCCATCCACAGCCACACACTCGAGGGTTTGTTTTTCCCTGCTTTGTTTTTCCATGCTCCATCACCACTTCCAGGATTGTTTTGCAGTAGGATTTGCCCTGCCCAACACTGCTCCCTGATGTGAACGGCTTCACTTCATGGCTGGGAGAGAAACCAGCATCTGAATCTCATAGCAGTCTTTCCAGTATCTGAAGGGGGGCTATAGAGATGCTGGGGATGGACTCTTCATTAGGGACTGTAGTGACAGGACAAGGGGTAACGGGTTCAAACTGAAACAGGGGAAGTTTAGATTGGATATAAGGAGGAGATTCTTTACTGTGAGGGTGGTGAGACACTGGAATGGGTTGCCCAGGGAAGTTGTGAATGCTCCATCCCTGGCAGTGTTCAAGGCCAGGCTGGACAGAGCCTTGGGTGAGATGGTTTAGTGTGAGGTGTCCCTGCCCATGGCGAGGGGGTTGGAACTGGGTGATCTTAAGGTCCTTTCCAACCCTAACTATTCTATGATTCTATGATCTAACTACATGCTGCAGAGGTGGCTCTACCCAGGCACTGAAGCCCAGAGGAGCCCTATCCTTCCTAAGCCAGGACAAGCAGAGCCTCTCTTCTGACAGGGTGAGAAGCTCCACAATCTCTCACAAACCAACCTTGAGAAGTTACCTGCTAAATCATCTGCCCCATCCTCATACAGGCCTCAGAGTCCCACAGCAGAACCCAAAGGCCAAACAATCTGGATTAAGGAGGGCTGCTTTAATCCTGAACAGGAGACATCACCCTCCCCACGAGACCAAATTCTGCAACTCTCAGACACCAGAGGCTCAGACACCACACAAACAGATGCTGAGATGTTCCTAACTCGCTCCATCAGTTGTCTGAGGGTGATTATAATGTCTGCTCTCAATGAAAATGCTCCTGCAGAGTGTTTACAGACAGTAACAGAGGAACAGCTCCGAGACTGGAGGGCTTTATTCTTCACCACAAGGATCCCAAGTAACCCAACCTACAGGACACAGGCAGGGACACCCCAACTGTCCACAGCCCAGGAGCAGCTCTCTGCCACATACCCAGACACAGCCCCATCCATACACAACAGGTATTCCAGCACTGTGGTATGAACCCCAGAGCTCTCCTGCCCACCACTGGATCAGCTCCTTCACCAGGTTTCCTTTCCATGTTTCCCAAACCAGTGCTCATGCCCACAGCCAGGACTCACAGGAAGCTCTTCCCTGTGAGGGTGCTGAGGCGCTGGCACAGGGCGCCCAGAGAAGCTGTGGCTGCCCCATCCCTGGCACTGTTCAAGTCCAGGTTGGACACAGGGGTTTGGAGCAAGCTGCTCCAGTGGAAGATGTCCCTGCCCGTGGCAGGCAGTTGGAGCTGGATGAGCTTAAGATCCCTTCCAACCCAGTAACAAAATCTGCTGCAGAGGACAGTGAGGTCAGAGGGTGTCTGCCTCAACAGAACAGATTCTGTACCCGCAGCTAAGAAATCAAGCCCTGCTCACTAAGCTTTATCCTTACATCAACAGCTTTGCTTTGCTCTGGGAACTCCCAAATAGACATTATGAAGCCAGGTTGCATTCTTGCTGCAGTTAAAGGAGCTATGATCCCTGTCTCCCACCCCTTTAGGACCAGATCTAAGAGCACTTACTTCCAAAGCACCTCCTTGCACCTTCTTTATTCCAATCATTTTGAGTTGTAACAAGTCATCCAACATCATGACAGCATCTACAACCATCCTGGAGAAGATCTCCTTGCTTTGGGAGATGAGTTTAGAGCTCAGAGCTGTGGCTGCACACTTCTCCAGAAGGCTTCTCTGCTCACTGCAAGAAAGGAAGGAGAAAGGTCTTGTTCACTTGCTGGTTCTTTCTGCAGGCTGACAAACCAGCAGGTATGGCATAAATCCACTCTAACAGAGACAAAGATCAGCTCCCTTCTATGGACAAGAGAAAACAAGGCCCACACAGGAAACCCAGACTATCAAAGTATGATTCTCCCTTGCAGAACCAAGCACTGGACTAGCACTGACCAAGTCAGCTGGATTTTAGACACCACAGGCCTGAGCTAAACAGGGCCCAGCATTCCCTCCCTCATCCAAAGGCAGTGGGAAGTGTATGAAACCCTCTAAAGGTGGCACATTCTCTGAAGTATTTTGTTCAGGTTAGGTCCTGTTGTACAGAAATGATGTTGAGGCACTGGAGAGGGTCCAGAGAAGGGCCACAAAGATGATCCAAGGACTGGGAAGCGTGTGGGGAAAGGCTGAGAGAGCTGGGACTGTTCAGCCTGGAGAAGGCTCAGGGAGACCTTGTCACCATGTGCAAGTACTTAAGGGGTGGCTACAAAGATGGAGACTCCCTTTGTACAAGAAGTCCCATGGAAATACATGGGGTTATGGGCACAAGTTACTGCTGGGGAGATTCCAACTGGATACAAGAGGCAAAATGCTTCCCAAAGAGAATAACCATTGGAACAATCTGCTCAAGGAAGTGGTGATTCCCCAGCATTGGCCACTGTTAAGACTGGGCTGCACAGGGTGCTGGGACATCCAGTCTAAGTCATGCTTTGCCTGGAAAGGTTGGACCGGATGATCCTGGAAGTCCCTTCCAACCTGGGAACCTGTGATTCCAGGAACTCAGGTAATGTATGCCATAACAGAGTGGATGATAACAAGGGACACCAGGGAAATAAGGATCCAACAGCTAAAAGTGATCTGATTCTCAGTAAATCAGCATTAACACTGTCCCAGACTGCAGCAAGAGCTGCAAGTCACCACCACTGCAACAAAGAAATGAGGCCACTTATTTTGGTCCCCAGCTTCCTCCATGTGCAGTGAAGACACTGGCCTACATACATCACTGCAGCCCAAGTGAGAGGAGGGCATCTCCCTCAGAGGAGCAGGAAACTCCCAAACACTCCGGAATAACCCTTGTGTGAGGCTGTTTATCCAGACCTTGAGACCTCAGCCACAGCCCCAGTGGAACTCAAACACCCTCACAGCATCTGACTGAAGCTCAGCTCCACAACCAGGTCATCTCCAAGGGAAACTTACTCTTTATCTTCCTTCTTCACTGAAACCGCAATGTCTTTGATCTTGTTTACAGCCTGTCAAAACACAAGGCAAAAGCTGGATTTATGATTCATGCTCGTAGCAGATCTCATCTCTGATTCCTCTCTTTTGTGCTTTAAGGTGTCTGTTATTCCTTACTTCAACGTCACTGAAGTTTCAGGCATTCAGGCTATTCCAGCATAGTAAGAAACACACTAAAGGAAGAGGATTGGAAGGAGGCTCAGAGCTGCTCCACTGTCTTCAGCAGAGCTGGTGAACCAAAGGACTACAGAGGGAGTTCACCTCCATAGAAGACCCAGCTTGTAGGGGCTGATGGGCTTCATGAGGCAGAAGGTTTACTAAGGAGTAGTAGAGATCAGGCAAACAGGAACCAGATTTTACCATGTATTCATTCTTCCTTGGGAAAAAAGAAAACACAAAGGAAGCAACAGTGCTCCAGAGGTAGTTACTGGTAGTCACAGCTGACACCAGAAAAGGCAGCTGATGTTTGCATTAAGACACTGCAAGATCACTAATGAGCCTCCCCATACCCATTCATGAACGAATTTTGCTTTCAAGTGTGTTGGTTTTGCTCTTTGGCCCAGAATTCCTGTCTGGAGGAGCCCAGAATAGCCCTAAGCAAGAGCAGCTCTGCCTCACCAGCTGCGTGGCTGTGCGGAAGGCACGGATGATGATCTGAGGATGGAGACCTTCCTCCGCATAAGGCTTCACTTGCTTGAGGAACTCAGCAGCCAGCAGAGTCACAGATGTGGTCCCATCACCAACCTGCACGGAGAGGAAACGCTGTGTGACCCTCACGCTGCAGAGCTGCTGTGACAGAGCTTCCAAACCATGCAAGAGGCTCAAGGGCAAATCAGATTTCATAGAATCATAGAACCCCAGCCTGGTTTGGGTTGGAAGAGGCCTTAAAAGCTCATCCAGTTCCAACCCCCTGCCATGGGCAGGGACACAGATTTGAAAGTTGTCACAGAAGAGAAGGCATGAGTAAAGAAACCAAAAAAAACACGAGCATTTCATGTGTGATTCCCAGCAGTTAAAAGCCCACCGAACCCCCTCCAGGCACAAGTCTGCTGCTGCAGGCTCTCCTCCTACCTCAGCATCCTGAGATTTAGCAATGTCCACCAAGGTCTTCGCAGCCGGATGGACAACATCAAGGAGCTTCAGGATGGTGGCCCCATCGTTTGAGATGGTGGCTTTGCCTAGGGTTGATGTAGGAAAGGATGGCAAGATTAGAGTGCTGTGAATAAAGCCTTTTCAGAGTGGGGGGAAGCCTCTTCCCTAAATCACACCCAAAACAAAACTCAACCAAGCAACATCCACTGACTTGACACTCAGCCCTAAGTGCTGAGTAACTTCACAGTTATTAGGAGCCTCATTTAAAGAATAAACAGAAATGATCAGACAGCTGAAGACGTGGTTCAAGACACACTGTTTCTCCTTTCTGGCATGGACTTTCTCACATCCAGTCCCATTAACACTCAATCTACCCAATCTCACAACAAAACTCACAGCTGCCTCAACTCAGGCCAGCGGAGAGCAAACAAGTAGTTCCTCAGGTAAGCCTAATAATTGCCTTCTCTTCAACAGCAGGGGCCAGAGTCAAGGTGTTGAACTGAGCATTGAGACAGAAACCAAACCTCTATCATAAGATTTAAGCTCAGTCTGGAGTGAGGAAGTTGAAGTCTGAAACCAGTAAATACTGGCTTTAATTGTTACAAAGATGTGAGTAAATACAGAGATGATTTCCAGTCACTTCTCAGTGGCTGGGGACAGCCCAGTGCTTACCCCGGTCATCCACGATGAGCTTGTCCATGCCACGAGGTCCCAGCGTGGTGCGCACGGCCTCGGCGATAACCTGGCAGGCATTGATGTTACTGACGAGCTGCGGGATCCCCTGTGAGGTATCTGTGCCCTCCTTCAGCAGGATAACCGGGGTTGGCTGGAGAGAGAACACACACCAGGGTCAATACTCCAATCCCAAAAGGCTGTGGATAACCTAGAGCTAAGTCCTTGCACAGCCCAGCAGGCTGCCGTCACAAAACCACACCAAACCCTACAGCCTCCTTCAATACTCCTCTACCTCCACACAATCCAAATGCTTTCCATCATTCACAGTGTAATGGGAATTCAGAGCAGCACAGAAGAGTTTGTGTTGGAAGGGGCCTTAAAGCTCCTCCAGCTCCAAACCCTGCCACGGGCAGGGACCCCTTCCACTAGAGCAGCTTGCTCCAAGCCCCTGTGTCCAACCTGGCCTTGAGCACTGCCAGGGATGGGGCAGCCACAGCTTCTCTGGGCACCCTGTGCCAGCGCCTCAGCACCCTCCCAGGGAACAGCTTCTGCCTAAGAGCTCATCTCAGTCTCCCCTCTGGCAGGTTCAAGCCATTCCCCTTGGCCTGTCCCTACAGGCCCTTGTCCCAAGCCCCTCTCCAGCTTTCCTGCAGCCCCTCCAGGCACTGGAGCTGCTCTCAGGTCTTCCCTTCAGGAGCCTTCTCTTGTCCAGGCTGCCCCAGCCCAGCTCTCTCAGCCTGGCTCCAGAGCAGAGCTGCTCCAGCCCTTGCAGCATCTCCATGGCCTCCTCTGGCCTCGCTCCAACAGCTCCACGTCCCTCTTGTGCTGCTGCCCCAGAGCTGGATCAGGACTGCAGGGGGGGTCTCCCCAGAGCACAGCAGAGGGGCAGGATCCCACACGGAGGGGTTCTGGGCTCAAGCGCTTACTGAAACTGGGTCATGGAGAGCTTCTCCTCACCCAGCACCCCCAAATCCTTGTCCTCAGGGCTGATCTCAATCCACCCAGCTGTCTCCCTCTGGGACCATATCATAACTGTCACTAAAATAAGCAGGCTTCCTCAACACAGCAGGAACTGCAAAGTTCCGACTGTGAAGCTGACTGGGTAAGACTACAGACAGTAACTACTGAGCAGGGACCTGCACCACTGCTGCAAACAGATCTGTGATTTATTATTCTTATTACAGCACCAGCAAGATGCTAAGCAGAACAGACACAGCAGCCTTTTGCCCCTCACACCTCAAATCAAGAAGAGTCCAAGCTGCCCCAGGGACAGCAACTGCTGGAAGATGTGTGGGAGGCTGAGATGAGCTCTTAGGCAGAAGCTCTTCCCTGGGAGGGTGCTGAGGCGCTGGCACAGGGTGCCCAGAGAAGCTGTGGCTGCCCCATCCCTGGCAGTGTTCAAGGCCAGGTTGGACACAGGGGCTTGGAGCAAGCTGCTCTAGTGGAAGGGGTCCCTGCCCATGGCAGGGGTTGGAGCTGGGGGAGCTTTAAGCTCCCTTCCAACCCGATCCATTCTATGGTCTGTTCATGTGCATAGAGACTGCCCTGTGAGGGAAACTGAAGTATGGCAAACAGAGATATGGGGAGGCTGCTTTCGAAAATCCACTTCTGAAAAATGGGATTCTGATCATTAACATTTAGCCTTGTGACAGATTTCTGCAGCCTTTTCTCATAATCCATAATCATAAGAAATAACCATGGGGATTAGAGCAGCCTGCCCTAGTGGAAGGGGTCCCTGCCTGTGGCAGGGGTTGGAGCTGGAAGAGCTTTAAGGTCCCTTCCAACCCAAACCACTTTGTCAGTCTATGAAGTGCTGACACCTGCCTGACAAGGCGCTGGAGACAGCTCCGAGGACCCGAAGGGCGGCAGCAGAGCAGGGTTTGTCACCGCTCAGCACCAGCCCTTTACAGAGCTCAAACCAGACGTGCCTCCGAGGCAGAGCTCGAACAAAGCCCAGTCACAGCCGAGGTCTGTGAGACACCCAGCTCCCTACCGGCACCCGCGGGCACAGAATCGCACTACGGCTGCAGCACACGAGGCTGAGGGGCCGGTGTGCGAGTACAAGACGGGTCAGGATTCCCGAAAGCTGGAATTCCGTTTGTGGAACTGAGCGGAAGGAGTTGATCCTCACCCACCAAAGCGCGGACCTGAACGGAACAGAACCCGTTTATCCCCGAGAAGACGGAGGGATACACGGGCTGCAGCCTGCCTGCTCCCGAGCAACACAACGGGGCCCAGAGCTGGGCGGGGGGGGGGGGGGGGGTCCGCAGCCCGGGGGGACGCAGCCACAGCCCCGGAGCCCCGGGAGCTCCGCACTGCTCCCACGCAGGCCCCCGCGGGCCGCGGCAGGCCCCTACGCCAGGCCGGCTTCCTCCATCCCCATCCCGCCACAACCCCACCAAACACGATCCCCGGAGGGTGGCGGAGGCGGCGGGGGAGGCCATCGGGCAGCGGGGCTCGGCGGCGGGGCGGATGGCGGCGGATGGCACTCACCATCATAGCGGCGGCGCTCCTCGGTGCGGCTCCCCCCGACCCGGACAGCCTCCACCCCACAATGCACCGCGCCCGCCCAGAAGCTTCCCCGGGCCGGGCGGGGAAGCGCTGGTTGCTAAGAGACCGCTTCCGGCTGTGCTCTATGGTATGGGCGGTAGAGCGCCCCCTGGCGAGGCGCCGCTCGTTCCCTAGCAACCATAGAGAGCGGGGCTGCGGAGCCGGCAGGGAGGGTGGATCACTATGTGGCAGAGGGGTAACGGAGCACACAGCGCTAGCGGATGGAGCTTTATTTGGCAGGGGCCAGCGACCGAGGGCGCCGTCTTCAGCCGGGTCCCTCAGGACATTGACAGCTGCGTCAGCCAATGAGAAGGCGCGGGGCGGGGGCTCCACCAATGGGCGCGGCGCGGGGGCGGGTGGTGCCGGGGGCAGCCATGCTGCACCGCTCGCTGTGGCTGTGGCTCTGCCTCTGCCTCTGCTGCTGCCCGGGCTCTGGTGAGTGCGAGCGGTGCGACCGGTCCCTGCTCCCCCGGACCGGTCCCTGCTCCCCCGGACCGGCCCCGGTGCCCCCCGGCTGCCCTTGCCCCGCCCCTGCGGCTCCGTTCCCCTCCGTGCCCCCCGGCCCCATCGCATTCCCCTTCCTGCATCCCAATCCGGGTGTGTTTCCCCTCGGTGTACCCCGGCCCCATTGCATGTCGCTACCCCCGTGCGTTTCCCCGTCCTGAACCCCAATTTGAGTGCGTTTTGCTGCGAGCACCACGATCCAGATGCGTGTCCCCTCGCTGTTCCCTTGTCCCATTGTATTTCCCTTCCGTGCACCATGATCCGTGTTCCTTTCCCCATCCTGCACCCCCATTCAGGTGCAGTTCTTCTCTGTGCACCCCGCTCCGGGTGCGTTTCCCATCGCTCACCGTAATTCCATTGCATTCCCCATCCCACGCCCCGATGCGGGTGCATTTCCCGTCACTGCCTCCCAGCTCCATTGTGTTGCCCATTCCCACACACCAGCCCAGGTGCATTTCCCCTCCATGCACCCCAGCCCCATTCCATTGCCCCATCCAGCTGCATTTATCCTTGATGCATCCTGGCTCCATTGTATTTCTCCTCCTTCATCCAATCCGGATGTGTTTCCCCTCAGTGCATCCCAATGCAGGTGCGTTTCCTCATCCTTCACCCCAGCGTGAGTGTATTTTGGCTCCAAGCACCACGATCCAGATGCATGTCCCCTCGCTGCACCCTTACCCATTGTATTTTCCCCCTGTGGACCATGATCCTGGTACATTTCCCGTCACTGCATCCCATTCCCCTTGCATTTCCCCATCCCACACCCCAATCTGGTTGTGTTTACCTCTGGTGCACTCTGGCCCCATTGTGTTTCCCCATCCTGCATCCCAATCTATATGCATTTCCCCTCACTGCACCCTGACCCCATTGCATTTCCCCATCCTGCATCCCAGTTCAGGTGCATTTTGCCTTCTTGCACCACAATCCCAGTGCATGCCCCTCACTGCACCCTGACCCCATTGTATTTCCCATCCATGCACCTTGATCCAGGGGCATTTCCCCCTCCATGCAAGCCAATCCAGGTGCATTTCCTCCTATTTCCTTGAAGGAATTTCCCCTTCTGTTCTCTCACCTCTCTCTGTGCCCACCCAGGTTTACGCCTCCATGAGTATCTGTATTTCCAAGTGCTGAGCCCTGGGGACATCCGCTATATCTTCACTGCAACTCCAGCCAAGGACTTCGGTGGCGTGTTTGTAAGTATTAAGTATCCCAGAATCCCAGACTGGTTTGTGCTGAAGGGACCTTAAATCCCATCCAGCTCCAACCCCTGCCATGGGCAGGGACCCCTTCCACTAGAGCAGCTTGCTCCAAGCCCCTGTGTCCAACCTGGCCTTGAACACTGCCAGGGATGGGGCAGCCACAGTTTCTCTGGGCACCCTGTGCCAGCGCCTCAGCACCCTCCCAGGGAAGAGCTTCTGCCTAAGAGCTCATCTCAGTCTCCCCTCTGGCAGGTTCAAGCCATTCCCCTTGGCCTGTCCCTACATCCCTTGTCCCAAGCCCCTCTCCAGCTTTCCTGCAGCCCCTTCAGGCACTGGAGCTGCTCTCAGGTCTCCCCTTGAGGAGCCTTCTCTTGTCCAGGCTGCCCCAGCCCAGCTCTCTCAGCCTGGCTCCAGAGCAGAGCTGCACCAGCCCTCACAGCATCTCCGTGGCCTCCTCTGGCCTTGCTCCAGCAGCTCCACATCCCTCTTATGTTGGGATAGGTCCCCCCAGAATCACAGCCCACCCAGGGATGAGCAAGCTGTGGGACAGCAGGAAGCAGCCCTGATCCCTCCTCACTCACATTTCCCGTCTCCCTCTTGGAGAACACAAGGTACGAACAGATTCACCTGGTCCCAGCTGATCCCCCCGAAGCCTGTGGAGAGCTGAATAATGGTGTCTTCATCCAGGACCAGATTGCTTTGGTGGAGAGGGGGTATGTTTGGTGTCACGGGTGCTGTCTGGGGTGGGGGACACTGGGGCAGGAGGGGGGCTGCCTGGGGTGCAGAGGGTGACAGTTCCACATCCACATTTCACCATCACCTCCATCTTCAAAACAGCCTGTGGTAAGGTGGAAAAAGCCCAATTGGATTGGATTGGATTGGATTCTGAGGAGAAGATGGCAGAGTGTGGGTGTCCTGTGCCTAAAATACAGCCTCAAAGCAGAGGAGGATTTGTGGGAGGCACTGGGCTTGGGGGGGGATAATCCCTCCTTTGGGAATCTCCAGGCAAGTTCTGGCTCTTGGAGCTGTGTGTGGCCACCAGAGGTTTGTGCTTGTGTGCCCCAGGGGTTGCTCCTTCCTGTCCAAGACGCGGGTGATCCAGGAGCACGGCGGGCGGGCGGTCATCATCGCGGATAACGCCTATGAGAACGACAGCTTCTACATCGAGATGATCCAGGACAGCACCAGGCGCACGGCCGACATCCCAGCGCTCTTCCTGCTGGGCAGGGATGGGTATGTGCCTTGGCCAAGGGGTATCCCACCTTCCTAAGTGGGGAATAGCTCATGGGAAGGGCCTTGTCCCCATAGAACAGGGAGATGCTGGTGATCAGGGTGTCCCACCTGGGTTTTGGGACCAGGGTTTTAGTGGATTCCATTGGTTGGGACTGTTCAGCCTGGATAAGAGAAGGCTCCAGGGAGACCTTACAGCAGCCCCCAGTGCCTGTAGGGGCAAACAGGTCAGCAATATCTGTCGCCTCTTTATAGAATCCTGGAATCCCAGGTTGGAAGGGACTTCAAGGATCATCTGGTTCAACCTTTCCAGGCAAAGCATGACTTAGACGAGATGTCTCAGCACCCTGTGCAGCCCAGTCTTAACAGTGGCCAACACTGGGGAATCCACCACTTCCCTGCGGAGATTATTCCAGTGGTTGGCTGATTTCATTGGGAAAAAGCTTCCTCTTGGGTCCAGTTGGAATCTCCCCAGCAGTAACTTGTGTCCATCACCCCTTGTCTTTCCCATGGGAGTCCTCATCAAAAGGGAGTCTCCGTGTTCTTTGCAGCCGCCCTTTAAACACTGGACCATGGTGACAAGGTCTCCCTGAGCCACCTTCTCTCCAGGTTGAACAATCCCAGCTCTCTCAGCCTTTCCTCACACGCTTCCCATTCCTTGGATCATCTCCGTGCCCCTTCTCTGGACCCTCTCCAGCCCATCCACAGCTTTTTTACAGCAGGGCCAAAACTGAACCCGGTATTCCAAGTGTGGCCTGACCAGTGCTGAGCTGAGTGAGACCTTGACACCTTTATCCCTGCGTGACATCCCTGTTGATGTGACCCTCTTGGTGTCCTCTTTACCCTCCCAGGTACATGATCAGACGCTCTCTGGAGCAACATGGACTTCCCTGGGCTGTCATCTCCATTCCTGTCAACGTCACCAGCATCCCCACGTACGAGATGATGCAGCCCCCTTGGACCTTCTGGTAGCTGCAGAGGCTGTGGCAGATCGAGGACTTGATGGATCTCAGGAGCTTGTCCTAGTGATGGGGGTTGAGGAAAGGCTCTCCATGTGCTCCAGAGATCCCAGCATGCTCCAGAGATTCTCCCAGTGGATTCAGCAGCAGGGAGATGGTTCTGCTGCGAAGGGCAAGCACGAGGACCTGTGGTGGGGGCCTTGAACCCAGCACTGAGCACCCTTTGTAGTGACTTTGGGGTGGGAGCCCAGAGCAGGGCAGCACCTCCCTGACACTCGTTTTAACGTTCCCCAAGATACCACCAGTGTTTTGTGCTGCTGACTGAGCGAGAGTGGACGTGGTCTGGTAGGGATGGGAGAGATGGGTTTGGTCTGTTCTAGCAGATGCCCTCATCTGTGTGTTTTGTGTGAGCTGATGATACCTGAACAAGTTTTAAAGGGAAGTCTTTCCTTTTTTTCAGGAGGTTGGGAATTAAGGGATAAATCTCATCCCGTCACATTTTATCCTAGGAAACTTCCTCTTGAAGCCAGGCAGGGATCAGTCACACACCGGGGCAGGAACAGCCTCATGGGAAAGCATCCCTCTGAAATCCATCCCCAGGGATGGGCTGGTCATAGATCCAGGGCCCGAAATTCCCACATTCCCAAACCAACATGTCCCCACTGGGACCAGCCCCTCATCTCCACCTTCACACCCCTCTAGTTTAACCAGTACAACCACCACAGCCCCACTTCTCACCAGTCTCGGTTTATTACGAACACCGAAGGGGACATGGCCCCAGGACGGGTGGGGATGAGCAGTGGGTGCAGGGCTGGTGGGGATGGCAGTGTCAGAGGTGCCCATGTCAAGAGGTGTCACCTTCAGTCCCACAACCCAGCTGCCACAGGTTTGGAGGAAACAGCAGCAGGAAAACAGCTCCCAAAATCCAAGAGGGGAGGCAAATATTCCAAGCACATCCCCAACCTGCTGCACATCCATCGCTTGGAGCCGTCCTCTCCCTCCAGCGTGGGCCAGAGATGAAGACAAGGCAGAGAGCAGTGCGGCCTCACGGGTGGCATGGGATGGATGACAATGCTCTGCTGCCAGTGACATCTCAGTGTAGGGAAGCCACACAGCCCCACGCCACGTCCACTGGTCTCAGGCATCTGAGCCACCTTCTGCAGTGTCTCTGTCCCACCTGCAACATCTTTTGCTCCAAGCTGGGGCATGGAATGGAGGATATGTAAGACCCCAGCTCCATAGTGTGTAGATAGTGCTACTATAGACATTAAATAGTACCTCTTGTGCACAACACACGTACATACATACACACGTTCCCCTCGTCCCCGTGGGGAAGGGAAGGATGTGTTCCTCCGCACCGCAGCTGCACAGGCACAGTGGAGCAGCCTCAGGGTGACCATCATGATTTCCCAGGGGCTGGCTGGACCCTGCTCTGCTCCAGCCTCCCCAGCCAGCCCTTCTGGGGACCAGGATGCTCCCAGCCTGTCCTCACAGGGAGGATGGGGACAGCCTGACACACACATACACACACAAGGACAGGCGGGAGCAGGGCCTGCCTATGGCTCCGCTGCTGCCCCACTCCACCAGAGCTCCTGACCCCACAACACAACCCTGTTCCTCGAATTAAAGCTGCTGCCTCCGGGAGGATCCTCATCCCTGTCCCTTCCCCCTCCTCTCGCCTGGGGCCAGGATCAAACATCAGTCATCTCGTCCTCCAGCTCAGCATCATCCGTCTCCCCTTCACCCTCCTCCTCTTCGTCTGATGTCACGTCAGCATCGTCGGCTTGCGCCAGGCACTTGGGACACGAGCAGGTAAACAAGTAGTTCTCCCTGGAAGAAGGGAGGGAAGAAGGCAGAGTGATGGTGGTGAGACAGGGAACAATCCCAACCCTGCTGCTGGGCAGGGCAGGAGCAGCCAGGAAGGGGCTAAGTATGTTAAACCCAGAGGAGTTCACTCATGCTGGGCTGGATGGGGTGGAGGAAGTCTGGGTGAGAGGGGGACATCTCAGCCCTGCAGGGTGATGGGATATGGGGATGGTGACCGTCAGCAGGAACCCCTACGCTGGAAGGGCAGAGAAGGAAAAGGAGGGTAAGAACAGGAAGGGTCTGCAGGAGGGGTGCAAGCTTGCAGGGAGAGAGCCCAGATCCTCAGTCCCTGAGGCTACAACACAGAAGAAGGGAGTGGAAGGAGCCTGAAGCACCAAAAGCACCACATACAGCATGCACACCCTGCCATGAGCACACCAGCTTGCACAGCCACACAGCAGGGCATACACGGGGCCCTGAGGTGGGGATGGAGTCTGGGAGTGCAAAAAGGGGTGCAAAGGGGATCCCACATCCCCCTGGGTTCCTCCAAGCAGCTGTACCTGAGTATCTTGTTGCGGCTGTGTCTGCTGCGCTCCCGCTGGCAGCAGTCTAAGTAACTGATGCAGATTTCCTGTCAGCAGAGAGAAACGGATCAGGCTGAGAATCACAGACTCACAGAGTGGTTTGGGTCGGAAGGGACCTTAAAGCTCATCCAGTTCCAACCCCTGCCACGGGCAGGGACACCTTCCACTAGAGCAGCTTGCTCCAAGCCCCTGGGTCCAACCTGGCCTTGAACACTGCCAGGGATGGGGCACCCTGTGCCAGTGCCTCAGCACCCTCCCAGGGAAGAGCTTCTGCGCAAGAGCTCATCTCAATCTCCCCTCTGGCAGGTTAAAGCCATTCCCCTTGGCCTGTCCCTACAGCCCCTGATGAAAAGCTCCTCTCCAGCATCCTTGTAGGTCCATAAACCCAAAGCAGCACAATTTGTCCCAGTCCCCCTCCAAGTCAGGCAAAACCACAGCATCTGGTAGACCCTCCATGGGATGAGGTGTGAATTCTTCTGCCAAGACACCACCAGAGACAGGAGGTGCAGGGCTGGAGTCCATAGGGCTATAGGGGACACAGGGATCCTCTCCCAAAGGGAGACCAGCCCAGGTTCATCCAGACCCCACTGTCTCACCTCTCCTGCTTCGATGTCCTCCAGAGCCGTCAGATGCAGGAGGAAGTTGTTTTCTGGGAAGGATGTCTCGGCATTGGGGATGCAGCTGTGGTTACCTGTGGGAAAGACAGGACACAGCTCTGAGGGTGGCTCCAGAGGAAGAGGAAGGCAGAGGCAGTCAGGACTGTCAACTCACATGGCACCATCCACTCACACTATGGGTCCAGCAGGACAGGGTGCAGAGCCAGGGCTCTCCCTTAGACCCACAAAACCCACTGTCCTGGATCACGCCTGGGATGCACAGCACCACCTCTGCTTCTAGGTGCTGAGGGAAGGATGCTGCCCCAGCAGCCAGTCCCTGCTCATCCCTGCTCTGCCTTTAACACTGAGGAGCAAAAGACAACAGCTCCCGGTGCTGGGACATCTCCTCCTGTATCCCCATGGGCCAGCCAAGAAAGATTCCCTCCTGTAACAGTTCACCCAGCTCCATTTTGCTTGGACAAGGCTGGAGACAGTCTCTTTGCTAACTGCATACGTGGCTCCCAGAGATGACATGGCATTCAAGCCAGGACTGAGCTAGGTGAGATGCCAGGAGACCTCAAGAGAGCAGCCAGGCCCTGGGCAACTCCCATCCCACCCCATCCCACGGATGGGAATCACAAACCCCTTCTCCAGAGGCTGTGAGGAAGAGGTGAGCCACCCAGGACATCTCCCTCCTCATTAGTTTTCCTTCCAGTCCTTGTGTTACTTACAGCAGCTCTGGAGCACGTAGAGTCCTGATCCCTCACAGTTGAGGAACTCTCCTGACTCTGCAGCAGAGAGAAGGGGGTCAGAGCTTTGCATGGGCCACGCTGCTCACAGACTTGGACCTGCCCAAGAAGCAGGCATGGACCAGGGGGAATGGGATTTCCCACTGCCCACTGAGAACCCCTCCTGGTCCCTGAATGCTGGGAAGAGTCTCCAGCTCACCCTTCTCAATGTCCTTGTAGAGCTGGTCGATGAAGGCATCCAGCTCCTCCCGCTGCAGCATGGGGAGATCCAGAGCATCACAAGCATGTACCCACTGGCTCAGGGAGCTGTTGGGAAGCAGAGGGACACTGTTACAGTCCCACGGTGCTGTCACTACATGGTGGGACCTCACAGCAGGGATTAAACTCATGGCTCTGAGTGGCCAAGGTCTGGCAGAGGGACACAAAAGGGTTGGATGTAGCCAAGATGAAGGAGTGCTTTTAAGTTTGCCTCTGCATTCCCCTCTTCCATCTGCACTCAGCCATCACTGGGTAATGGATTGAGACTGCACATCCTCTCCAAGCCGCATCTCTGCACCCAGCAAACCCCATTACCTTGTTCCTATGCCTTGGCCATTGGTCCCAACGAGGGCAAAGAGGGATCGAAAGCCTTCTGGAGTGAACCACTAGAGAATGGAAATAAGAAAGCAGCTGACGCCAGGCCAGCTTGCAGCAGCACCCCAGTGAGTGCCTCAAATCCCACAGGGAAGCTTTGGGGGAAGCAAGGAATGGGGAGTGTCCCGGGGGAAGTTCTGGCCAGCCAGAGCATCCTGCCATAGGCTAGTGAGGATGCAGCTCGACTCACCCTGCTGAGATGTTCATCATAAAGTGCTTCAGTGAAGAGCAATCGCAGCAGCTCCAGCTGGCCCTGGCAGGACATGGCAACACCATCAGGGTGGGGAGAGGCTGCTGGGTGTCACACCCAGGCTGACAATGAGCCCAGCACAGGCCACAGGGCTCAGGAGTCACTGGGGCTCCTCGTCCTGGCCTGCAGGGCTGGAGGCTGCTGCCCTCAGAGCAGCAAAAGCCACTCATTTGAGCAGCAAACATCACCTACTCAGCAGCTAAATATCACCCTGTGCCATCCCACAGCAAACATCACCACAGGAAGGAGCAGCGTGTCCCACTGAAGCACCACAAGCCCAAAGCCCTCTAGGAAACCCATTTTCTGTCAGCTCAGCCAGGCCCTAATGGGAACACTGGAATTCCCACTTTAATCCCGGGATTTCCAATGTCTCCCATCCCAACTGTAACAGGGCTCACAGGCCTAGGCAGGGAGACAACAGGCTCAGGGCCTGAACACATCCAAAAGCTTCCAGAGTCTTACTTTAAATTTGTCCCCCAGCAGCTTGTGCACAATCTCCTCCTCTTCATTTGCTGTCTTATTGCAGAACTGGGAGAAGGTCTTGATCCACCATTCCTTGTCTTTAGCCTGACAAAGGAAGCAAGCAAAGGGATGGCTTTCATTCCCAGCCAGGAGACAGGGAGGAGAAGACAACCCCCCTGCAC